ACCTGATGACTGGTCCTCATGTTCTGGGGATGCAGTAGACGTGGGGGGGGGGGGAAGAGCAAACAGGAAGTTGTTTGCGTACTGTGGAATACTGGGGATATTCGGATTTTTTCATTCACTTGATGGCCCATGACGTAAGTACCATATATTTTACTGCCTTGTACTGTCAAACCGAACTAGGTCAATTATTTTTTTCCTCTTCAAAAAATAAAAAGGAGCCGGAGTCGCCCCCTTTTTTGGCGGCTCCGGCTCCGGCTCCGGCTCCGGGCTATATTGTTTCACGGCTCCGGCTCCGGCTCCGGCTCCGGGCAAAATATGCCGGCTCCGGCGGCTCCGGCTCCGACTCCGGCTCCGGCTCCGCATCCCTGCTAAAAAGTGAAGCCTGGTGAAAATATGTGCACTGCTGAAATAATTTTACCTTTTCAGCTGTTTGTCTCATGCACTGAGCTTGCTGGCAGCCGTAAAAAATAATCGAAAATTCGAAAGCGTAATGCAAAAATTTTAGCATTTGTAAATTTCTATAAAATGAGTATAGTTCCACAAAGTGTTGCAAAAAGTGAGTATAGTATGAAAAGTGTGAATTTGAGCATGGCTACTCCACCGCCTGCTAAATATCGCCCCCAAAGACATTTCCGGGATTATTTTGGTTATGATTACGATCTACCGGCCATCTTCGATGGCCACAATGACTGACGCTGCAGCGTATTTGTAAGCGCGATACGGTAAGCGTTGGAACTCGTTTCGGTCGATTCTCATTTGCTTGAGCTTCAGTCACCGATCTTTTTTTTCTTTTTCATTTTCCTTTATTTTTTATTATTATTTTATTTTTTATAGTTAAGCGGTGACATTAATTGCTTTATCTACTCCTGGCCATTTTGGCGAAATACCGTACAACCGGATGTGACGTCATGTGATCTGCGACCACCAGTGCCCTCTCCACCAATCGGGAGTCACCGGAAATGGCACTGTGACCTGTCACGTGACCAGCACCGGCTCGACCAATCAGGAGGCGTTTCCGGCGACAGAGGTGACTCCGAGGGTCGGCTGAGCTTTTCGCGTCCTTTTTGCACTGATCGTCGTCTCGTGCGCGTGTCCTGCTGGCATACGGCAAAAACTGGTGAGTTTTGAATGGCATTAGTCTTGGATTCTCCTTCAGTGATAATTTGTTGTGTATTGCTTACAATCTGATTTCAACTTAAAAAAAAATTATATCAGGTAATCATTCTGGTTTGTAGCGGTTCGCAATTTAGTATGCCCTCAGAACTCTTGATATATTGGGTAATGTTTGGTCATACGGGACCTGCTGAAGGACCTGCCGACCTGAGCTGCGGGCCTCTGCCTGCCGAGTATCGTCGTCATTGATTCAAAAGCACTGGTGTAAACGCGCACATTCCTGGCACGAATTATTAAACAATGACCTCTTTTTTGTCAGGTGGCACCAATCGTCATGCCGAAATACACGGAGGAAGATCTGGGCAGAGCGAAGAAGCTCGTCGCGGATGGATTCACCGTCTACAAGGCAGCCAAGGACACCGGCGTGCCGTACGAGACGCTCCGCCGTCACATCTTCGGCATCAACGTCACCGGCTCCACTGGCTCTGGGCGACCGACGGTGCTGACGAGGACCGAAGAGGACAAGCTGGTGGAAATCCTCGCTTACCTCGCCCGCCAAGCATTTCCACTGGACACCAGTGACATCTGCGATCTGGTCCAGCAGTTCCTGAACAACCTCGGCAGAGAGACGCAGTGGAAGGACAACAGGCCCACCCGCTTCTGGCTGTCACGTTTCAAGGCTCGTCACGCCGGTGTCCTCGCGTCGCGCAAACCGGAGATCCTCACCATCACTCGTGCCAAGTCTCTGACAGAGGAAGTGGTTGGCGCCTTCTTCTCCATGTACAACGGGGTGCTCGTCGACCTGGGACTCGAGGACAAGCCGGACAACATCTACAACCTCGATGAGACGGGACTCTCGACCGATCCGCGCTCGACAAGGGTCATCGTCCCCAGCAAGTCCCGTGACGCCTACCTGAAGACGGCCAGCTGTGGTAAGGCGACATACAGCGTCCTCTTCTGCGTGAACGCCACTGGAAACTACTTCCCACCCTTCGTCGTCTACAAGGCCAAACGTGAGCCCTTTGACTCGTGGATGCGTGGCGGACCGCCAGGAACGGCCTATGGGACGACACCGTCAGGCTGGATGGAGGGCAACATATTCGAGAGCTGGTTCCAGACCATCTTCGTCCCAGAGATCACCAAGAAGCATGATGGTCAGCCCACAGTGCTCGTCTATGACGGTCACGGATCCCACATGACGTATCGGACAGCAGCGCTTGCGAAGGACAACAACATCACGGTGGTATGTCTTCCGCCACACACCAGTCACGCCATCCAGCCTCTCGACGTCGCCGTGTTCAAGCCGGTCAAGGTCGCCTGGGCGCAAATCCTGAAGCGGTGGCAGCGTGAGTCACGACTCGTCGCTGTCGACAAGTCGGTGTTCCCGACTCTCATCTCCCAGCTGTGGAAGGAACTGGATCCGGTCCACGCCGTGGCCGGATTCCGCGGCTCGGGTCTGTTCCCAGTCGACGCTGAGAAGGTTCGCAGCCGGATGGTGGGACCCGGGAGCACGTCACGTGATGACATCCCGTCACCTGATGAGGCGCTCCAGGATGCTGTGCTCAGTGTTCTCAGTCCGGAACAGTCAAGTGAGACGAAGGCGGCCCTGGCCAACAAGACGAAACGCCGCAGCCGAGTTCAAAACAAGAGCGGCGAGGTCTTGACGTCAGAGTCTTCTCTGCAGAGGCTCGAGCTGGAGGCGGCGAAGCGCGCAGAGAAAGGGAAGAAGTCTCCGTCGTCACAGCAGGACAGGAAACTCTCCAAGAAACGCGAAGAGAAGGGAAAGAAGCGGTCTTCGTCGCACAAGATCGAGAAGCCATCCGCGAAGCGAAAAGTGACCAAACTGACGACTCGATCGAAGTAGAGGGGGTAAAGCTCACGCAGGCTTTTGGAAATGTGGCGGTGCCCGTTCGCCACGCCACTGTGACCGTGGTTGGTGTTGTGGCCATTGTCGGTTGTGTTTGTTGTTGTCTGCTCAAGTCATCTATGTGTCTTAACCCTATTCCTGGCGGGGGGGCCTCAGGAGCCCCCCTGAGGTTTTTTGGTTATATCTCCCAAACGCGTTGAGCTAGGAAGCTCAAATTTTCTGACTTTTCCTAAAAGGCTTCTACGCAACATGTCTGAAAATTTTGAGTTGATCTGACCTCAGGTCAGGTCACCAGAGGCGGTTTGGTGACGCTACCTCAGAAAAGTTTGCAATCACGCCAGAGCTAGAGTTTTTGACCGATCAATTTCTTCTCTTCAGGGTTTAGTTAGGGTACCAGTATGTGCAATTTGTATATCTCGGAATTTTGATATCGGTGACCTAAGGTCAGGTCAATTTCGCGACCTCCCCATTATAAGTCAATGGGGGAAAAATCAACTCCCTGTTTTACCACTAAAACGGGTCGGAATGGCCCCATATACCATACATGACTTCATATACGATCAACCTTCACTACCTTGAGGTCTGTTTTGCTGTTGGGCAGCTGTGAGGTCATGTGACGTCATCAAAGGTCACCAAAGGTTTTTGGCCAATAACTCCGTACAGGAACAAGATACAGACGCGTGGATGGTCTCATTGTGTTCAGCTCGTCAAGACGCATCGAATGATATACATGATGACCTCGAGGTCACGTGACCTGAGGTCAACCTTTGACCTTGACCTTTCGAGGTCAACATATATATCATTCGATGCGGATTGACGAGAGGATCACGATGATGCCCTTAGTTTGTTCCTATCTTGACTAATTCGAAAGTTATTCGAGAAAAACTCTCTCCATATCTAGTGCCGCCATTTTGACTTTTTCGACCCCTGTGACGTCATCTTTGACCTGACCTGAAAATGACCTTAGTAAAAATTGTAGATCTTGGCCGTGCGTATCCGATGCCGTTTACCGCTTGTCGCTATCTTGCTTCGTTCTCGAGATCTCAGGGGGGGCCGAATCGGCCCCCCCCGCCAGTTTCTTGTCCCGGCGGAGCCCGCCAGGAATAGGGTTAATAAATTGAAACGACCGGTAATACATTTTCTTGATTTTTTTACATTTCAATACTTATATTGTTAGCAACACCGATTTCATATCCACGTTCCAGGCGAATTTCAGCGTCGTAAATCCAGCAGATTAGGCACAATAGAGCGTTGAAACAACTGTACTCATTTTTTGCGAAGGAGCAAAAAATGAGTATAGCCGACATTGGTCAGGAGATGCAATTATTACAGAACAACCGGTCGTCTGACACCGTTGTGCCACATAGGACGTCGTAGTCAGAACACGTAATGTCAATGTCCCATATAGCCATTATTCACACCCTTTCTAGTTTTGAATATATTTAACTGATAATGTAAAACTATACTCATTTTAGGCTCACTACCCTACTTTTTCTTTCAAAATTGGAATGCAATGCACATAATTCGACGACAAATTCCTCATAGATCACAAATAATGATTCTCATAGCCCATCATACATCCTTTCACAGTCAAAAGGGCCCTGAACAAAGCGTCCCGTGGCACTTCGTAAGCAGTATTGGTGATCACAACCAATGTTAGGGCGGTAAGGGCGGCCGATAAGGATATTGCAATCCGCCGAAAGAGCAAGGTTCCGGGCACATTGTCTGAACCCTTGCCGTAACGGTTTTCTACGTAGGTAGGTACCGCCCGATGCTTTGGAACCGCCCTGAGATCTTAAGAGCATTCATATGCCGGCATAAGACATTCACCTTTAACAGCCCGTCACAGGCCGACGTGGGGACCTCAGAAATAGGCATGGAGTTCTCGGAAACCTGCATAAGGTCCTCATTGACTACCGTCGGAACTTAAATCTGCGATGGGCCCCAAAACGCCACCGTGGAGCCCTCAAGGACCTGTAGATTGCAGCCTTCAGAAACCAGCGTGGACGCTAGGGTGCCGATGTCGAATGATCAGGGATTGGTGCGGGCCAACGGTGAGTTCAGTGCGGGTTCGCTCAACCTTTCAAATGACCTGTTGACCAGTGGGATGGAATGGAACAGACTTACAAAACCAGCTGCTCGAACGGCGCCCCGGAAGGCGAAGGGACATGTTCATTTCACATTGCTTTTTGCTAATGATATCTGCATGTCAGGGCCAAAAGGCAGTAGCTACTAGCCTGAGCACTGAGCAGGGAATGAGGGATGTATTCGGTTCAGAAGAGGCTGATTCTGCTCCCAATGATGGGGGTTGGATATGTTATCTGTGTAATTCAAACTCAGTTCTGAGTTATCACTTCAGAGTCATAAGGCTTCAGAGGGTGGAGCCTTATGACCAGTGACACCAAAAATTTGTGACTTTTACATTCTTCCATTCAGTTATCAGTAACATATGTGAAAGACAAATGGCCCTGGCAATGAAAATAACTTTAAGGACTACCCCAGGCTTGTTGAAGGGAAGGTATGAATGAACACCCGAGGACATCAGATTGCTTCCCTCTCCCAGGTAGTATTCTCACACCATTGATCATATGATGTTGATATAGTTCAGGAAACAAAAGAAATATATGTGCAAATTCAGGCCAGCTGTGAACGTATCATTGATTACAATGCCTCTAATGCCACCAATACTGCACCAACTTCTAAAGCACTGAGCAGAGGTTGTAACTAATAAAGCAGACCATTTGTCAATTCAATGCTGAGTAAGGGGGTGACTGAGGTGAGGTGCAATGAGCTAAATATGTTCTGTGCTCTGCTGGACACATGTGCAGAACACATGTAGCATATTGTGCTGCACCACACATGCCAGCAACAGACTTAATTGTAGGTCTAACCTCTTCAGCTACCTCCTTGAAACAAACAGCTATCTCAGCATGAGCAGCAAGTGGGTTTTGAGGGTTGGCAGCAAGACTCCTCAGTTCCTTCCTTCCAGGGCTGCAGCCTGCTGCTGGAAGCTGTCTCAGAAACCCTAGCATAGTGGAACAGCTGCTGTTAGCAGTGGAATCGGGTTGGCAGCCATCACTTCTGACTTCCGATTTCGGTCAAATGCCACTAGTTGTAGTCTGAGTCCTGTCTTTTGTACTTGTGTGGTCATGTCATTGTCATACCATGCTATTGCTACAACATGAAAGATTGCATATGCACCTTATTGCCTGAAATATATCCATTCTAATAATGGAAACAAGATCATTTAACGAATTGCCATGCGTCTTTGTAAGCTGCTTCAGACTGAGATTAAAAGTCAAAGGTCATAGCGATTTCTGCAGCCAAATGCTGTATGATATTCACTAGCGATAGCAGGGTAATTTGCTCCAAAGGTCAAAAACCCAAAACGTTACATAAAAGGGATCAAAATCGATAATAATCAGCTTCCCCCGACCCCAATTTCCACTGAAGCTGATACAGAAATACATGTTTACCGGTATTCGTAACTCGTGCGCCACATTCGCTATCCTATCTATACGGTTCTACGGTGCTGCCACCTAGCGAGGTGTCACGAGGCGAATATCCCGTGTTTGGTGGCCCGAAAACGTCCCATTAGCCGGCCGCTCCAATAGCGGTCCAAGGCCGCCCCCCCCCCGCTCCGCCGAGGGGGAGGGGGCCGGGGCCCGCCAGGTATTCAGTCGCGCCGCGTGTCTACAGTGACGTCAGCGCGCGCGGCAATTGTGGCTGCTGCGCCGCGGCTCGCCGCGCCGTGTGACCCACTAACCCGCGGCGCGCGCGCGGCGCGGCCTTGACACACTGCACTTGGTGTCGGTTTTTGAGCCCGCGCGCTCTCGGGGCGGCCGACTGAGAAAACGTGGTGAAAGTGACGGTTCGGGCGGCCGTCCGGCCCCGGCAGCGCGCCGCGGCCGTTCGTTTTGTAATTCCACTTTCGTTTTCGACGGCCTAGCAACTCGCGCCGCGCGCGGGACCGGGACTGAAGGGGCGGCACCATATGGTCGGCGGGACCAGCGGCCTGCTGCCCCGGCGTGTCGACGGGGCATGGGCCGACCCATGTGGGCTGTCACTCGGCTATCCGATAGGGCACCCACGTGGGAACACTATTCAGGTTAAATAAATACTCGGCGGGGACATTTAACTAAAAGGCTACTAGCAGATGGAGCATGATAAAACTGAGGAGTTTTTTGTTCGCTGGCACATTTCACAGCAACAAGCTGAGGCAAAGCTTAGCTAGGTAAGCTGGCGCCGTAGAAAATTTCGGACAATTTTCGAACAGCTTCTTCAGAATGTTTCAGACTTCATATCGGATAACATTTCACAAAAGAACTTGAATTGAAACCACGTCATTCGTGCAATCGTTGGTTGAACATCAGGAATTGGAAAACCGAAGGATACCTTGAATTGCGTAATAGAATGTGTTGCTAATGCCTAGGTACTACGTGTACCTATGTAGCTGGTTTTTGAAGCATTCATATCAAGATTCCACGTCAAACTTCTAGTTTCATTGAGTATGCATATTGCATAAGCTGTTAATCAATGCATTCATCCTACAGAAAATATGTCTAACGTTGCTTGCAGTATTAGAAATGCCATAAATAAAGACGGGAAATAGGTATCTCATATTGATAAATGAAAGGGCGGCGTAGCTCAAAAGTGACAATGGACAAGCTTCTCGGGATTAATATCGACGCCATTGCCGCTGACCAGTGTGTTCGAACCTTTTTGCTGGCGGCTGTGGAAATTGCTGCTCTGGCGGTTCTGCAGTGACCGCCGTGATCTCGGCACAGCTCCGTTTCCGATCAGTTCGGTTCGGGCGCCATTCAGCCGTGATGTAACTCGCTCGTCGGGGCGCCCGTGCCGATGGAGACGGTGGTGGCAGATCGGAGCGGCTTTCTCTGCACGTCGGCAGCTCTGACACCGAGCCTGCAGACGAGAGTCGAACTGCAGATAGGCGCCATCGCTGGGGCACCAGCTCGCGATGTGGCAACCGCTGGGCGGCCTGCACTGCAGACCGCTCCTCCCCTGAAGACCGGTACCTTGAGCAACTCTTTCACACCTCATGCTTATGAATGGTGCACGAGCTAGACATTGAGAGGACGTTTTGCGTTTCCAAATCTGATAAAAGTGTGACCGTCTCTGGCTGAGGGCTGATACATATTTACGGGCTATTGTCGCTGTTATATGTAGTTACAGTGGAAGTGGCAATGATGCTATTTTAGTCAATGATCGATGAACACGCTAAGTACACTTTATCTAAGTAATGTCTGGTGCACTGCAATCACTATTTTTTAATGACCTGTACTTCCAATAACTTGGGAATACAGGCACGTGCCTAATCGAATGGTTATGCCTAACAACACAGTTTATTCCGCAATTCAATGTATCCTTTGGTTTTCCAACTCCCGATGGGTAACCAACGATTGCACGAACCATGCGGCTTCAATTGCAGTTCTTTTTTGCCCCCACCCTCAGCCTTTTTTTCCTGGTGACCAGGAGTGCCCCCACCCTCAGCCCAGCCCCCTTTTTGTGAAATTGTATCAGATATGAAGTCCAAAACATTTTTAAGAAGCTGTTCGAATATTGTCTGAAATTTCTACCACCAGCCAACCGTTTGCTACTTTTTCTCAATTTGTTGCTGTGGAATGTTCCAATGTCAACAAATGTTCGCAGACTAACTGCGCGGTGAGATTGAAACAGATGAGCTCCAACCAGTGATGCCTCCATGAGTAATGTTAGCAGTCAAAACAGAAAGACAAGTAGCAAAAAAGTCATTAAAAACAGCAAATGTCATAATGGTACCCTTGAAGCGTGAGAAGCGTTTGATTTTTGGGCGATGAAATGTTGCCCAACGGCCATACAACCAACACGGTAATGAAGATAAAGAAAAAGGAAAGATAACACCGATCGGAGGAGCAGTGTAGCAATAAAAAACAGTGCTACAATAATGCGAGAAGTTTCCGGAAGTTGATTACGGTCTACGGATCACGGATGTTTATCATGTGGGGCCACTGATGACCGCAGTTGAGTGGAACTTAAGCCTATAGCACTGCTATGTTGTTTCAGTTTGCTTCTTTTGAAGTAACGAGCGTTTAACCGTTAGGTTCGGGATCCGCCCAAAACTTTTCGGCTGTGACCTCGCTGAACAGCCTCCCCCCGCGGCAGCGCGCCTCTGCAGGGGTGTATGCCGTGCCGTGACGGCCGGGAAGGGGGCGGTACAGCGTGACCACCGGCTGGCCACAGCCGTAATTACGGACATGTTTGGAGGCAATCGTGAACCGAGGGACCTTGCCGGAGACGGCGTGCATCGCTTCCGCGTCCGGACCGCGCGAGACGCCCGGTCGCCTCCGCCTCCCCCGCCGCCGCTGAACAATATGCAAACAAAGTGCATACAAATAGGAGGGTTATGTTCGGGGCGGGATGACGTTTTCTCCGCCCCCCCCCCCCCCCCCCCCCCCCCCCCGCTGTCTTCCGGTGACTCATGCCACTGCCAGTCCATAGGTACCCACAGCAATAAAACACATGGGCAAAGTTAAAGGGACCCTCCCACCTTCAAAAAGTTAATGAATTGGCATGAAAGTGATGTCCCGTGGTTCAGAAAGATAAAAAATGAATATCTACCAAATTTGACCGAAAAATATTCACTGGTTTTCAAGATATTGGTTTTTACTTTTGTTTACTTTTTGGAACCTCCGCTGTTCCTACGACGTCATTTGGAAGCAATAATTTGGCATCCTAAAAGTGCGGCAGATGTTGCGCGCAAAATCATATCACCACGTTCACTGAACTCTATAATGACCAGGACCACGTTTTATCGATGGTTTTAGTATAAGATTTAAAAATCGTTAGATCTTCGCTGGCGTCACAAATCCTAAGGGGGCATTCCAATGCATTAGCCCCGTAGAATCTGAAAACTGCAAGTTTGAAATGGAATATCTTAAAATTAAGGCAATTCTCATTTCTCGATGTTGTGAGTGCCTAAGGAGTCCTTAGCCAGGGACTCCAATTTGGCTATCTCAACTCAAAACTATTGTGAAAATGGGATAGTCAGCAAGTTATTGATAGCAAGCTGGAGCATGTTATTTGTAATGCGAATCACAAGTCAACCTAATCAATGTAGTCAGCGCTTAAAACAAAACTCGCTCATAAAAATGATGCTGTGTGTGTTTTTTCTTTTCAAACTTTCTGGACTGAATATCACTTGTCGTATTATGGTTCGATTTGACAATATGGCTCACTGACAACGCATCAGATACTTTTTTTAAATGCCTGAGTAAATCTCGAGAGCGTATTCACCCCATCCCCTTGAATTACCTATCCGCAACTCGCACATAGATGTGTGAGTTACGGTTGGAAAAAAGGACTCCTCTCACTCCGTTTTCTTGCGCAGGTATCATCCGTTTTCTTCTATCTCAATGTCGCCATCGTGCAACGCTGCGGTTGGAAAATAGCGACTTAGTCATGGAACGCCCAGTTTCTCTATTCTTTCGCATCCGGATTTCTCATGTGGCCTTTTGTGCCATCGAAAGATTATCAGATTACGTAGCAAAGTGTGGTCGCGCTAAGGGACGAGCACACTGCTCAGGTTGTGAAAACTGGGCCGTCCCCCGTGGACGGGGAAGGACACCGCGGTCCCCTGACCTGAGCGGCACACCCTTCAGACACGGCACAGCTCACGGCGCACGACCAATCGTTGCAACAGCCTCCGCGGCGCCGCGGATTAGCGAGACATCTGTGTTCGCCGGGTAAAAACGAACCGCAGAGCCCGCCGACAGCGCAGATATACGGGTCACTCAGATAGAGACGACTCAATCGTCAGAGCCATCGCGGTGGTAGTCCGTTTCTAAAAGGAACGATATTGTGAAGCGGGCAGCCCTGTCGCTTCGCCCCTAATTGAGCTAGATCTTGCCTTTTCAAGCATTGTTGTATTTAAGTTAGTTAAAAAACGGGAGCACGTTTCTGATGAAGACCTTTTTCACGGAGGGGACCAGTCTGGACGTTGACCCCTCCCATTAATTTTTTTGCGCCTTTTTTGTGCGCCTGCTTGTATCGGTCAGCTTGCCCCCTGATGGCTGATGAGCTGGCATTTACCTATACCTACAGAACAGTACCTACACGCTACACACGTTTCGCTACGACAAATGAATGAGATATTATTGCATACATTGCTGGTATTGTTAGAGCCGAAGCCAAGTACAGGCTAAGTTTCTTAAAAAGTAGGTATCATGTTCCATGCATGTTGCGCAAATTTTACACTTCACATCGCCTTCACGGATATAACTGAAGCTAGATAATGTAATAATGTCACAATCGCTTAAGGCTATTCGTCGGTGAAAGATTAACCTACATTTTCCCATATCGCTGATTTTATAGGGTTGTGAAAGCCATTAATAATACCATAGTCATTTGTCTGCTGTAGTGGATAATAACCCGATTGCCTTGATCTGATACTCAGGTGCCGTTAGGATACAAACGGTGTCGGTCTTTTCATGAACTTCGCCTTTAAAAGTGTCCGACAATTCCGACATTATCCAAACGGTAACAATAATCTGAATGGCATGCTGTCTGGAAGTTAATATATTATATATTTGTTTGACTCATTAAAATCGTTATTTCTTTTAACCATCGCCCGTATTGGTGTTTTTCCAGCCGCGAACGTATAAGGGGGGGGGGGTCCGTTGGACCCCCCCCCCTTGCCGTTTCGCCCCTGATCGAGCTAGAGCTTCGCGGAAAAAACGAGCATGTTGCCCGTGACGAGAGGAAGCCGCTGATACCCAATTTTAAGGTCCTAGGTCATTGGTTGACCTTGCAGGTCAGGTCAATGACCCAAAAGTCGGGAAAATCGGGACCTGTTAGAACGTCGTTAAGTGTGGCTGCCATGGGTTTTTTTCGGGGTGCTGATCACGAATATCATGTTAATTTTGATCACAGATGATGTCTTCATGCATTTAGGCCAGGTCGGGTCAGGTCAGGTCAGGTCAGGTCAACCAGTAAGGGTATTCGTAGTAGGTGGCAACCGCCTCTGACAGCTTCGTAACATGTTACGAAGACACCAAAACTACTTCGTAAATGTTCATATGGTTGCTAAATTCGAATTCAGCTCCAAAAACTGGTCTAGAAACATGTAAAACTCGAAAAAGTGAACCGAGGTCATCAAAGGTCAATGACCTGACCTGACCTTCAGGTGACCTTGACACCCACCCTAATGCATGGGGGCAACATCATATCACATGTTTGAACGCTTGAAACCACGAAAAGACTGCAAACGCGCGGCTAATGCGAGCCGACATACGCCGAATCGCGATTCCGGCCAAACATGGTCTCGAAAAGTAGGTCACAGGTCAAAGGTCATTTGGGTCAGGGTCATGAAATTTTCAGGGTTGGTGTAAAATTGATGAACGCGAGGGTATTGAAAGTTTCGTCGCGATCGGCCGCTTTTTACGCGAGTTATTCGCGAAAAACCATGGGGGGTCCGTTCGACCCCCCCCCCCCCCCTGTCACGGCTGTCGCCCCTCCGACTCGCGGACACGCCCGGTCTCGATCGAATCCTGTATTCAACTGCCGGCCGGCGGCCGCCGGCCCCCAGACCCAGGTCACTGGGCCGCCGGCCAGAGGCGCGCTCAGGTCAATACGGGGGGGGGGAGGCCTGACTTGCCTGACATTACCCCCTCCCACGTATGCAGACACGTGTAACCAAACAGGACATACACTCGGCTTATCACTAGCAGATCGAGTCAACAGAACAACAGCACTCAGGTACATCGCCATGGTTAACCAAACACGTTGCGGGCATGTGACACTTTCAAATGCTTCATGTGAACACGTCTCATCCGTCCCGCCTTCTCCAGAACGTCGACGTGCCTACGGCCGTGTAGCGCCACGACGGTGTACGGCCCCAGCCAAGGAGGGCACATCTTTGTACGCGCCCCCACATTACGCAGCCACACTTGTTGCCCGGGGCCCAGCGAGGGTTCTTTTACATGATGTCGCCTGTCGTATTGGTTTTTGTACGAGTCAGCACTGCGATCGCGCTGGCGCCTAGCATTCTCGAACACGGAGGACAAAAGACGAAGCTTCTCAGTCACATAGTTATGCGAGTAGCGGTTCCTCGGAGTCTGTGACAACGCATCTAACGTGCAGTGTGGGTGACGTAAGAAATACACGAAAAATGGGGACAGCCCTGTGGTGCTGGACAGCTCATTATTCAAGGAAAATGTGATGCCAGGTAGACGCTCTTCCCAATCAGCGCCCAAAACATCTGAGCTCGCCCTCAGCCGCCGTTTGACGTCTAAGTGCTTTCTTTCTATTTTGCCCACCGCCTCGTGATGGTAGCCGACGCTGGGTCGAGTCTGTGTCCCAAAGTGTTCACACAACTCCATCACCTGGGCACTTTTAACGAGATTGGAGCCTGCGTCACTTTCAATTACCTCTGGGGGTCCGAATAATAGGAAGTGTTCGGACAATTTCTGGGCCACGTGATTAGCACTTCCTGAGTCTAAGGCATAACACCACAGGAAACCAGAAAATTTGTCAACACAAGTCAAGACCAACGATCGGCCAGCGACGACACTTTTAGGCATGGAAACAATGTCAATAACGAGGATCTGGTTTGGCCAGTCGGCATGCTGTGGAAGCAATGGTGGGCTTTGTGCTGTCGATCCCTTCCTTTGGGCACAGCGATCACAAGATCGAACGTAGTCCACACAGTCCGCTCGCATGCCCGGGTACCACGCGTGTCGAGCTATCAGATTGTACATTTTGGCGGGTCCGCCGTGCGCGTGATCTGATGTGTCGTGGTGTGTGTACAATAGCTCGTACCTTTTCGACAGGGGCCAAACTACCTGAGAGGCCCCGTCCTCGCTCGAATGGCGATAGATCAGCCCTTCATGCAAGCGGAAGTCCGTTGCGGGCTGCCCCTTTAGATACGGTGGGGCGTACCGTGGCCATCTACCGTGGTTTAAACGGTGAGCGATGGCCCGGCAGTTACGATCGTGGCGCTGATACCATCTGAGGGTGTCCGGCTTGAGAGGCAACTGTACGAGACGGTCAGCAGCCGTGACGTTTACCTCCCGAGCCCCCTCACTGCCGTGGAGCCGGCCGCCAGACGACCGGGCGGCGGTCGGCCCCTCCGACTGGGCGGTCGGCCCCTCCGACGAGTGGGCGGCGGACGGCCCCTCCAACGAGTGGGCGGCGGGCGGCCCCTCCGACGAGTGGGCGGCGGACGGCCCCTCCGACGAGTGGGCGGCGGACGGCCCCTCCGACGAGTGGGCGGCGGACGGCCCCTCCGACGAGTGGGCGGCGGGCGGCCCCTCCAACGAGCGGGCGGCGGACGGCCCCTCCGATTGGGCGATCGGCCCCTCCGACGAGTGGGCGGCGGACGGCCCCTCCAACGAGTGGGCGGCGGGCGGCCCCTCCGACGAGTGGGCGGCGGACGGCCCCTCCGACGAGTGGGCGGCGGGCGGCCCCTCCAACGAGCGGGCGGCGGACGGCCCCTCCGACGAGTGGGCGGCGGACGGCCCCTCCGACGAGTGGGCGGCGGGCGGCCCCTCAGTCGAATCCTGTATTCAACTGCCGGCCGGCGGCCGCCGGCCCCCAGACCCAGGTCACTGGGCCGCCGGCCAGAGGCGCGCTCAGGTCAATACGGGGGGGGGGAGGCCTGACTTGCCTGACACCCCCCCTATACGGGCGAGGGATTGGTCCTTGTCCTCATCAATCAGAGCCAATGGTTCCTGTAAACACTAATATGTTTCAGATCTGTTTACCTATTGGCTAAAATTGTATCGTCATCAACACGGCGGAGCCGAGCTAGGAAGTTCCTTTGTCCTTTCCGTTGATGCTCTATTGCAGAAAATTAGTGAGTTGTACCCAAGTAGAGACAAGAAAACAGTAGGTAGTAGATAAAAAACACCAAACGCGAGACCTTTGAACATGTTTCGATAGTTCATAGCATTCGTCAGGATTTAAGCAGAATGTTTTTGGGTGTTGGGCATTGGCAAAATATGTTACTTAATCATGCCGTCAGTGAATTTGCTTTTTATGTTTTGCCGTTTGGATAAAAGTAATTCAGTTTAGAGCCTTCGAGCTCGATTCAATTGATTAGCCATGTGTGACTTATGTTAATTAACATGAGCCTTGAAACGTCCTAACGATGAAAAAAATGTCAGGTTTGACAAAACTTATTTGAATACCTATATGTGAAAGATTTTATGCAATTGATGCTAATTCGATGGCCGGCCTATTCCCGTCACACTATTTCCAGCCAACCTTTGGTTGATGTTACCCCGGCCCCCTGCCCGGCCCCCGGCCCCCCTGGTCGGCCGTCTGTGTGTCAGTGTGTCAGCGCGCGGGCCCCAGTGACAGCGGTGACCCAGTGCCCCACTGGCGGCGGCCGAGTGTGTGCCGCGCGAGACCGGCCGACCCCCCTCCCCCCTATCGACCGCCCCCGATGCCGCCGCGGGCGCCCCGACCGGTCACCGCCATGTAGGACAAATCGATGTCTGGCGTGGTCCAGTAGCCCAGATCCGCCGCTGAGCCGCTGGAGACCGAGCTGTCCTCGCAATGAGACCTGGACGATCGGACCCCCTCCCCCTCCGCAGCACTGTCACATGCCATCTGAATCCTCCATAGAGAACGGACTCCGATAGAATGGGTGCACTTTCTCGTCCATACCAAGAAGTGTCTTGCACTCTTACGTCCACTCTTCCGTCTGCGCCTTTCCCGCCCCGCCCCGCACTCGCTCTCTTGGAGTGGCCGCTGGCAGGAGCGGACGCGGAAGCTCCGTGCTCTGTCGGGTCGGCACGGAGACCGGTGTCGAGCCGTGCTCGCATGGGCGTCGAAACCGGGGGGGACGGGGGGGACGCGTCCCCCCCAGTCGAGGAATCCGGGGGGGACGTCCCCCGCAAAAATATCCCCATGAATGGTTTAAAAAGTGACCTACGACATTGGTGTATTGTCGTTTTGGGATGAAATTGCGGATACCTACTCGTATACAAATTGAATCTGCGAATTGCTGACACTGTACCCTTGCTTACAGGGCTGCGGAGTAGATGATTTTGGTAACTCCGACTCCGGCTTAAAAAAAAAAAAACGCTCGGAGTCCCCACTCCATCTCCGACCACGGCATCCCTCGGCCCGCATCGGAGTGAAAAAAAACATGTGATGTGATGCTTTTGTGTCTTTGAACGTTTCTTGGCACATTAAAAGATAGCATTGCCTACGAGGTGCAGCTCTGGACTGTCCGTCCCAGGTCCTCGATAGGGAGCCAAAGCTCCAGTTGTAGGGGCGACCATATCCAACAAGGGCTGAAGATCTGTCCCAAAGTCTCAGAGTGCAGTAGGACAACAGCTTGCAGAGACCACACATTTTACATAGGATATTCGTACCTAACAGTCAAGACCTTCAGCTCACTCTCAAACGGCCCTCTTCCCGTTCGAGGCCATGCGACAGCAGAAGGTCTCACCATGGCCTTTGAACGCTTGATGCTTGAGGGTGGTGAGAGGACCTCGTCCTGGTCTGAGAGAGCCCAGGAGGACGTAATGCTCAGTATGCCCCTACATTGGTCTTACCATGACCCCTACAATCACCACAGCCAACAGAATCTTCAGGTCTTATTCGGCCCATCCTCGGGGATGACCTTGACTCTGACTTCAGAGATGAAGTCTGTTACGATTTTGGTGACTCCAACTCCGTATCCGACCAAAACCGTCGACTACGACCCCGCAGTCCTGCAGCTACACTGCACAGAAGTTGGAAAAAAGCTGTACCTATGGTTGACAGCGGTTTACAGAGGACCACACGATTTTTTAGAGACAGGGCTGCTGGACTTGGTGACCAGACCCTAACTGTCCTGGTATCAAACTTATTACGCGGAATGCAAAATTTATGCGTTTTGGGACTGTTTTGCCAAGAGTTTTTGCCAATTTTCGCGGCGCTTCGCGCCGCCAATTCATGCACAGGTAGAAAAGAGTGTGACTAATAACGCCTCCACGCGAGAACATGAGAACATGTGTATTGTGTATGCGTTACAAGTAGTGCATAGGCCTGAAATTGTACGGTAAACTAACTAACTTTTGGGTTTTTAGTCAGCCAATCCGTCCCCCCCAGTCAAAAATCCGTGGCGACGCCCCTGCGTGCTCGTGCCGTGCACGTACACCGGTGCAGCGGCGTGGGTGGACGTTGCTGGGCGGATCTGATGACCCGGCACCATCCGCGCCGCGTTGAAACGGTGCCGGGATGGGCTGACGCGGTGGCCGCGCTGACGCAACACAACTATGCGGTGATGAGAGGAAAGGGAGGGCTGTGATTCAGGTGACCGTGGCCCCGTTACGGCGGCGTTACATCATTTCAGCGGCTGGCAGGTCCGCTGCACACCGGCACACTGGGGGACGGGAGCGGAACAGGTGCAGAGAAGCTTCCAGAGGGCTCCCCTCCCCGGGGGCCAACACCGCTATTGCTCTGCGTGTTGTCTACAACACCTGATTAGCGCTCGGGGGCCCAAAAACTGCCCGGCTCCAGATGTGCAGCGCAATCCATCTCCGCTGATGAGACGGCGGTTGGCGGGTCGCGCTACGCCTCAATGACTTGCACATTGTTGACTTGGTGTGTGTCAGCTGCATGCGCTGCAGTTGTGCATGGTCTTCTTTTCTGGTGCATATGGTGCTGACCCAATTTGGTCGTTTTTTAGAGATAGGTACATATGTATGTACATAGATGTTGATTATTGTTTGTGTACTGGACACTAATCGCTCCCTTTTATCGCAACTGATGATCTTCGCGATCTTTTGCAATAATTTTATGGTCACATCAGTATGACCTAAGATGACCCAGGGTGACCTGTGGGCTGTGGCTCAAGATGTCAGCAACTCAGGAGTCGGGACATCTGACTTACAGAGGTTATTAGGCAATTGAATTTGAATTTATCTGGGAGAAAATGTGTCTTTCGATCTGTTTTTGCCTTAGGTGGTCAACATTTAGTTCTTAGGGAGCTCCTAATTTTTATCATAACCACCTACTGTCGACACACCATGTTTTTTTTTGTTTTTTTTTGTTTTTTGGCGAGGCTTGGTATCCGAATTCTGAACGACGTGAAAATGTTCACTTCGTGATTGTGCCACGTAAATTGTATATTCTCTGTCTTGGTTCAATGCTGCATTTATAGACCTTAAACCCTTCTTAAACTTATTCTGATAATACACCCATTTACCCAATGACCCGGTCCGTGTGCTAGCTGCTCGTCTGTAGCCTAAACTTTTATTTTCATACGTTGTTTGAAAATAACATCTTGGATTCCAAATCGCTTATATAGCGGTGGCGTGCCTACCTTGCATTTCGTGGTTGTTTGGTAGCTCTGCAGTTGACCATATTTGGTAGACGCGACCAGCTACTTGCGTGCAAGTGTTCCCGTTTGCGACCGAACTGGTTCGGAGTGAGCAGCACTGGCACACGTGGTCCCGGTCTGTGTCGGCCATGTGGCCCCTGTCCTGGTTCCCATGTCCTCGCGCTGTCTGTAGGGGGCTGGGACGGCCGACGGGACGGAGACAGACGCTGACTTAGCTCCGCCACCACGTCAGGGAGCCACTAGTCTGTCCTGACGACCGCGCCATGTGTGCGACGGGGCGATCGATTGGTGGATCACTCTATATTTCTATGCATAGCATGTTTAATGTGACATCTCTGTCAGCTAAGTACGAAAATGAACCGACTACATGATACGCAGAGGACAAATTTTAAACTTAGATCGAAGCTCGCTTATAAGACGAGTGAGTAGGTACGTAAGTACCTACATCTTGTATATTATGATCACCGTTGCGATTATTTCCTATTTTCGAGCTTGAGGCTTTGCTTTGACAAGTTTGTTATTATCACCTGGTGTTTGGAAGAACATTGAATAATGAAATCTGAACAATGCATATTATATGAAATGGTGACCATCTCCTTCATATGCCTCCATTACATCAGGCGGATAATAAATACACTTGCCCATGGAACCCCTGACCAAAGAAGGCCCGTCCCGCGCCGGCCACGTCCGCGGCTGAGTCCGCACTGTGCACGGATGACGCAAGGAACCCCAATCTGTCACAGCCGTCCGGGCGTGATCGGTTATCGGGCCGTCACCGAATGGCATTTACGGTAGCCGTGGGTGTCGCCCGTCGAACGGACCTGGCTGGGCACTGTGCACGCCCGCCCGTCCGTCGGTCCTCACCGGCAGCCACTGCACGAACGGCGTACCAACGTGCTCATTTGTCGGGGGTAGAGGTGCTATGTCCTTGCTGGATGTTCCCGCAGTGGTTTTGCCACGTATATGTAGCTGTAGCGCTGCTTTCAAACAAAAGATCGTTCATTCACATTCGTTTAGAATTTAGATGCACTCATTTGCCCCGTCAACTCAGCGAGTGATAGGTATCTGCTATTCTACTGCCGCTTGCGAGTGTTCTCGGCGGCCGACAGCAGCATGATACCTATAAGGGACGAAGCCATTACCCTACATGTCTTCGCTTTTACCAAATAACCGTTTGCATTTCCTGAACTTGCATTCTTGGTAGGTATGTGTACTTCTGCATCTAAATCTTATTCTGAAGCATATTGAAAACAGCTGCATGACTCAATATGGCGCGTGGCTCCTCAGAATGAAATAGCCCCCCTTTGGGCAAATCCTTGGCTATGTGCGAGTGCCTGAGCACTGAACAGTACATGCGGCCAGGGCTGCGGAGTCGATGGATTTTCGGCGACTCCGACTCCGACTCCGACTCCGGCTTTCAAAAACCAGCTCCGACTCCGACTCCGACTCCGGGCAGAATTGTCGACTCCGACCGACGCCAACTCCCGACTCCGACTCCGCAGACCTAGCAGGGCTGCGGAGTCGACAGATTTTCGGTGACTCCGACTCCGACTCCGGCTCGGGTTTCTAAAATCGACTCCGACTCCGACTCCGACTCCGGTCACAACTGTCGACTCCGACCGACTCCGACTCCGACTCCGACTCCGCAGCCCTGCATGCGGCGACAGTGCGATATCACTGGTAACTCCATTTTGTCAACTCCCTTCCCCGAGACGATTCTGATAGACGAAGCCATTTAGGGGCAGCGGACAGCATAGCAGCAGGACGTATATTTACCTGCCAAACATCAGCTTTCGCAGATACTGCTAGAGTCTCTTTCCTCTCTTGTAACTCATTTTCGAGTGTCAGAGAGTCACTTCTTCCACTAACTTTTGAACAAATTTATTCATTCATGGATGGCGTTAAAAGAGCTGCGATTTCTTACGCATTGAATTTTAATAAAGTGATTGGATTTTTTATGTAGTCATCTCAGTGAAAACCAAATACGTCACAAAGCGTGCCAAGAGTCATGCAGCCCACGTCTTCTCAAAGGAATGTCGTCTGGCCAGATCATCCATGTGAGCTGTGAGCTGCGGGAAGCTCCAGCTTCATGAGCTCCTCTTCTCGCAGGTTGGGACTCTCCGGAGAATCGCCGTCGCACCCGCACCGAGGCCCTGGAAATTCACCACCCAGTTCCGGGACACGCCGGCCGCGTGGAGCGTTCCGCGAACTACAGTTCGCACAGGTGGGTAACTGGCGAACACTAATAGCTTCCGATGACCACCGAAGCGGTAGGTGAGAAGGATGGCAAAGCAGAGACACGGCGGCGGTAAATGCTTCCGGTGACCGGGGCTTGCGCGACTGGTTCCACTCAGACCTGTTGGTGACGACCCGGACAGACCGGCGGCGTTTGCTCTGCCGCGGCGCAGTATGACGCGGCGTGCTGACTCGACCGTGACCGCTGCCGGCGCCGCGCCGCCACGGTCAGGGTCAGCAACCGCCGCCCCCGCCGCCGCCCCCGCCGCCGCCGCCGCCGCCGCCCGGTGACGCACCTGAAGTGCGCCTCGCTCGGCGGAGCGCCGGCGGCGGGAATTTCCGGCAGGGCGGACGGCACCGGCGGCGGCTGCCGCAGCCCGTCCGCGGCAAGCTCAGTGCGCCGGAGCTGCGCTGCGACACCACCAGCACGGGCGGCTGTGTCGAGAGTGTCTCAGTGTCAGTGTCAGGGCCGCGCAGTGTCAGCCCGCCGGTGCAGAGTCTGGGTCGTGTCAGAGCGCCGTGAACATGTCGGTGGCCGTTTCGTCGTCGCGCCCGGAGCGCGAGGTGTTTACGACGCCGTCGGCAGACGGCCGGTCGCCAGGTAACCGTGATTCGACGCTGACCCTGGCCTGGGGCCCCCTGGGGGGGGGGGGGGAGCTGATAGCGGCGGGGGGGGGCTGACTGCGCAGTTCAAGGCTACCTCAACTTCCCAGTGAACGGCGTTGGCGTTGAAAATTACATGAGAGATGATAGCGGCTGTTTGGTATGCAGGATTCAACCTGCTGGCCCATTTTGATTTGTGGGTGATGATAAGCGGTTGTTTGCTTTTACACCCAATAGGTCTAGTGAATGCATCACGGTCATCTGATGTTTATTGCTTATTGCCAAAGAAGTGTCGACTCGTCCTTCCTTTACTCTGGAGATAAAAAACTTCATTTCCGCGTTTGGTATCATTATAGCAGGATAGGCACTGGCAGCCGGCAGGACAATTAGCAAGGTCTTGGAGCCGTGTGCGCATAGAATAGAATATAGATCATCATCAGGACTTAAACAATGTGATATGAAGTGCAACTGTCCTCACTGTCATGGATCCCAGGAAATGAACCTGAGATCTGATCCCACGGACATTGATCTCAGATCTGATGGATCACAGATCCAGCCCTGTCATTTGTCGAGAGATCCGACGAGACCATAGACCCAAACCTTTGTTTTTTCTAGAGAAAGAGATCCAGTGAGATCATGGGTCCTTGCTTATTTGTTGACACATCATTCCTAAAGAAACACTCGTTCGCAATTTACAGCAGCTCTGTTTAAGGGATCTTATATTATCACGCATCACAATTCATAGGTATTGTGGCTCTTATTGACATGGATCCACCTGAAAACATGGTTTTACTGGTTAGGTGTGGTGGGATCCACTCGGATCATAGATCCATGCGCTTGGTTTGCTGTCAGATCCTAGGAGATAACAGATCTCCAGGATATACTATATTTTCAAAGTGGGATCAAATGGCATCATATATCATAACTTTTCACTCGGCTTCGAGATCCTCTGAGATCATAGAAGCATCACTCGGATCCATGCACATGTCTGACGTAACGCAAAGTCGACGGTCTTTTTACAAGATGAGATTATGGTAGGCATGTAGGTATATAGTTATCGCTGTTTTTTAGTCCTATTTACAGCCACGTTTTGCTTTTCATGCCTACTTGTAAAAAAATACATTGTAGCCCTGTAAACGTTTCGATATAATTGCATCTTCCCTGTTCAGAACTGATACAAGGTCTGTGCTGAATAAAGAAAAATCATGTCTGATAATTTACGTACACAGGTCTGTTCTATGATCGTTAAGAATTTTGTGGACTTGGCTTTTTAGCTGAAGTGTCCCAGGTCTTACGCACTTTGCTGAAGAATTGTGGGTGGACTCGTTTAGATGGGCTTCTATACGTTCTTTCCTTTTTACTGATGACAAAATGAATGCCTACTTAAGTGGAAATCGCTCGATCCGACAAGCGGTATTACTCTCTCGTGAAAACGTAATAAGCGCGCCATTCCGATTCGAAATTCGGCATACGAGCGGCATCGCTCGCCGCCCTGGGCTGACGAGTGATGATTGCTGCGCAGTGCGCGGCATCACATCCGCTCCTCCTGGGTCACCTGTCCAGAACGTTCTCCAGCTGACACATACACCGCGGGTCTGGAGCCGGTTCTGCGAATGGCCCGCGCTCCGCTCCACGTCATCGCTAGGTCGCACCGGGCGTAATGAGCCCCGGGCGCCGGCGGCGGCGGCGGCGGCGGCGGCGGCGGTGACGCCGGTGACGGGGGCGGTGTTGGAGGTGGCGGGACGGGCGGCACGGGCGCTGCTGATGGTCCCGCTGTCATCAGCGTTGGTTGTAGAGCTTCTAAATCTAGATACGGCGGCTCCTGTGGCGGAGACGACGGCGGCAGCAGTGATGATTGAGCCTCCCGGAACCAGTTCTGGTGCCCAGCGGCGCCGCCTCTGCGAGATGGTTCCGCTCCACCTCTTGCGCTCCGCCCTCGGAGACGTTAATTTTCAATGTGACGCTGCACGTGAACTCGCTCGGAGAATCCAGCTGCGCACTACCCTGTAAGGAAACAGTTGCAAGCTGAACGGCCCTATATCAGAGGCAGCGCATTCAGCAGCGCATCTGCTGAAAAGAAACATGGCGCTGCCAGAAACATAACGGGCTCTTTCTTGATGAAGTAGTTTACTTGCTCAGTATTATCACTTTTTATCCATTCAAAGAAGCATGCATTTCTTTTCACGTTGTATAGAAGACTTTCTTAGAAACATGCTTAGAAACATGTCCTGTGACAACAGCTTAGTTGCTACCAGGGCTTCGGAGTCGATGGATTTTCGGTGACTCCGACTTCGACTCCGGTAGAACTGTCGACTTCGACAGACTCCGACCGCGACTACCAATATCCCTGGCAAGTCTGCGGAGTCGATGGATTTTCGGTGACTCCGACTCCGGCTCCGGCGTTCAAAAACGACTGCGACTCCGACTCCGGCCAGAACTGTCGAATACCACCGACTCCTACTCAGCAGCCCTGGTTGCTATGGTAGATGTAGTCGAGAAACTTATGTAGCATAGGCTGCTTGTTAGATTTCAAGTCTATAATCTGTTTTTTTTTTACATTTCGTTCTGTTCGGCACATCGCGCACTTCGTGAATTTGTTTATTAAATGCCTGCACATTACGCGGACATACTCGTATGAGCTGCGCCAAGGAGTTCCTCAGTACCTTAAATGTAAACGAATGGTCCGTTTTCATTTACATACATGCTAACTGCAGTAACTATGCGGGTTACTGAGCACTATACTTTTGCCATTGACCTTGGCATTCGGGGTGCACTGTTAACCGCGCAGTTCGTGCCTGGCGGTTGTCGGGCTTCCGCAAACGTGTCTGACATTGAGCGCTCTTCCGCACACCCGCCGGCCGCGAGCCCGACCGGAGCTGTCCCACGAGTCTGACCGGAGCTGCGCGGGTGCTGCGCGGGTGCTGCGCTGAAAACAAATAATTGGGAAGCTGTCCTGAGGGCCTTCTGGCGCTGGACTGCGTCGAGAACCTACTGTCACTGCGTCGATAACCTGCTGGCTCTGCTCAGAGAACCCGATGGTACAGCGACCTTACAGTTGCAGCTAATGGGCGCACTGCGTTCTTTCGCGCCCACATCGCGGAGCGCCGTTAGCAATAGCAGGTGATGCCTCGGCCAGTGCCGCGCTCTCTGGTCACCCCTCCTTCCCCTCTCATAACAGCTGATGCCCCGGCCAGTGCCGCGCTCTCTGATCACCCTCCCTTCTCCTCTCGCCGGTCACTGACCGGACTCCCCTGGCACCCTGTTTGCGTACCGTACCTGAGCGCCGTCACGGGCTCCCACTGCCCTCGGGCCGGGTCATTCACACGGCCGGCACGGAGAAAGGCACACTGCCGCTGACCGGCCGACTTTCCTATTTATTTCGGGACTGCGCCGGCGGCTGGTGTTGACCGGCGCCGCGCTGTTGTGGTCCTGAGAGCGCAGCCGGGGCGGGGAAGGACCGCTGTGACGGCGTGCCGGGGGTGTGTGGACCGGAGGAGAGCGGCGGCGCCCCTTTCACCACGACCGGCATACTTCCCCGCGCGCGAGCTGATGGTTCCCGCGCGACTCGGCGCGCCACGCAGCGTATCTCCTGTTACGCACAGGGTGAAGCATGGTGCTCGGCACCGCGACTTTCCTGGGTGAAACTCAAATCACACGAGGGAAATGCATGATGGAATTTCTGGTCTGACTTCTAAAGGTGGTAACAGTGTATCCGTCTTCTCTGAGATGCGTGCAACCATGTTTGGGTGCTGATTTAGGGAATGTATTAAACTGTGCTTGATAAATAGGGCAAAGTTAAGTGACTCTGTGAAAACCACAACTTCGTAATTTCCAATTGTTTCATTTTTATGAAATCTGACGATGCTGTCAGCCATATTTTTCGGTCGAGCTCTTGCGTCAGATGGAATGCCATTTTGATTTAATGCTGACCCCTTTCGATTCGGAAAGGAGCATTTTTTGACGGACTATTTCTTCTTTCTTCTTCAAAATACTGCATCGCATACCTTGGTAGGTTTCAAATTTTCATTTAAAAGGTCGTGTTTAAAAGTGCACCACCTTTGTCATTGCTATATGAAGTGAACAGGGTCACGTAGAGCGCCAAGGACCATTGTTCAATAGGGGGCAAGTGGTTTCGATGGCATAATGAATACCTGATGGTGCTGATGCATTGAACAATAATGAATGGGCAAATGCGCTCATTAACAGTTTTCGTAGAGTTCTCCATAATCCATTGCACGCTATTTTCAGGCATGAATACAGCCTCCTTGTATGTATTTCGGCGGAACTGACTGACTAGCTCGTCACTGACTGACTAGCTCGTCCGCGCCGCGCGCGGTGAGCGCTGCTGCGCCCGGGTCGTGCGCGGCTCGATGGCGCTGGTCCCACGGCGGTACGGCTGGCCGGCTGTTGTCACCTTGGACGGTGCCGGACGGTGTCAACCGTGGACGGCTCGTGACAGAGCCACGCACTGTGACGGCTGACCCTGGCGATAACTGATTGGACCCGACCAGCACGCCCGCTCGTGATCGTTACCGACGATGACAGACAACTGCGCTATTGGATAATGACTTCTGCCCCTGTATTCAAACGATGGAGCTTAGTTTGTCGTTAATGGTTATTCAAGAGAGCCACCGCTGGCAAGACCGCTGGCTAAAGAGACGGTTCTTCTGATTCGATTCATGAGATGTGCAATGACCAAAGCCTAAGACCTCTTGAACAGAATTTATATTGATGAACGAACACCTTTTAAGTTCCCGAAGCCTGCGCCGATTTGCCGTCAATACTTCAGTCACAGTAGTCACACAATCCCCAAGCTGAAGAAGTACAGCTAAGTACAGCTGTTAGTAAACAATTATTTAGTTAATGTGTTCGTCTTTTTCTTATGGATACCTAAGTTTTACTGGAACGATAATTCTAGATATCCCCAAGACCCAATTACATACTGCCAATGACTTCCTAATATTAGTACAACCTAATTGAATGCAAGTTTAGTAACTCTAAGTTTAAAAACTTAGTTTAAACTTATAAGTTTCCACTGCGGTTTTGCTGAGCATTACCTTACCGACCCTTCCCTGCCCCCCCTCTCTCTCTCTCTCTCTCTCTCTCTCTCTCTCTCTCTCTCTCTCTCTCTCTCTCTCTCTCTCTCTCTCTCTCTCTCTCTATCCTTTCATACTCATTGTACCTTTCCATCATCCAGTTCCATGACTTCAGTCCCCGGACTACCTGTACGGCCAATGTGCCGTGGCCTGCACGCCGCCGCTCGGAAGGGTCGTTCTGCGGCGGCTGCTGTGCTGTGGTCACGCAGCTGCTGGGCTCCAGGTCGCGCAGCTGCCGTTCTCCAGGTCACGCAGCTGCTGTTCTCCAGGTCGGACAGCTGCTGTTCTCCAGGTCACGCAGCTGCTGTTCTTCAGGTCGGACAGCTACTGTTCTCCAGCTCGGGCGGCTGCTGTGTTCTAGGTCGCGCAGCTGCCGTACTTCAGGTCGGACGGCTGCTGTTCTCCAGGTCACGCAGCTGCTGTGCTCCAGGTCGGGCGGCTCTTGTGTTCGAGATCGGGTGGCTAGAGGGCTCCATTCCGAGCCGGGTGACTGAAGAAGTTTGGCTGGGTAGGACCCCAGGCGGGACCGTCTTGCAGGACTCCAGGCCGGGTCGAGCTCCAGGGCTCCAGGCAGGTGCTGCATACTCTACAGCCGTGCTGCTGCGGCGATGGAGCGCGACCCGTGTTGTGTAATAGCGGATGACACGGCGGTGCGTGTCTGCACCTGTCGCCGGCCCGGCCCGCAGCAGCAGCGGCAGCGGCAGCGGCGGCAGCGCAGCAGAAAATGAAAGTGATGTCGCCCGAATGGCCGTATCGTATGGTTGGACAGCTGACTGGTCGGGTGGGTGGAATAATGCATGGTTGGCTAGTTTGCCGCCCTGGGATGAAGTGGTTGAATGGTTGGGTACGTTAAACTGGTCGTTTGCTGGTGGTTGAGTAGCCGAAAAGCCGCTGGGCTGTCGGGCGTTACTGGTTTCTCAGTTTTGGGTCAAGGTCTCATGTTTCTCGGTTTTAGGATCGGATGGAGTCAAGAGGTGGGTTCTGTTCTGGAGGTTTCGATTGGCATTTGGCTCTATGTAATTCGTGCTGGCAATGCTCGAAATCTTATTGATGTGTGGACATTTATATTCGAGCACAAGTAACGGGCTTGTTATATTTTCAAGCAAGCGTAATGAACAACAGTGTCTTGTAAGAGATGCATCTAAGGCTAATCAATCATTAGATTGACTGATAGTTTTATTTTAACATTGCAGAAAACACCATGGGCCCCAGAGCGCCTCTGTGCGGCCGAAGGCCTGCGCGCCTGTATCTGTGCCATGCGGTACAGTATAACTCCAGGCGCTCGAACTGAGCCAGGCGGTACAGTATAACTTCAGGCGCTCGAACTGAGCCAGACGGCACAGCATAACTTCAGGCGTTCGATGGTGCTGCCATCTATGGAGAGTTTGTCGCTGCTAAGACAGCCAATAACTATAGGACGTTTCAGATGCATCTGAAGGTAATGATAGTTTTGGGCGCCTGCTGCACCGTCATCGAACGCAGTGGTGAATTTATATAGCGTGTCGTGCCGGATATACCGCGTCATCCTAAATATGTGTGTAGCTGTTACCTACTTTTTGCTTTTTAACATTTCGTTAATCAGACCAAGTCACATGCGGACGATGCAGCCAAATGGAACTTTAATAGAATTCATCATTTCTTTGAGGTGTATTGATAAAATGTTGGCCTATAGAGCTGCGGGTGTGTTTGCTACAATGAATCGTCTAATACATGGTGATAAATTGTACCGCTAGCTAGCATTAATAAGGGCGTCTCACGATGAAGAGTGGCATTTATTGCGAATGTTTCGTAAAAAGCGATATTTAAAAATGATGTCTCTAAATCGGTCCATGTTGTAGCATCTACCGCTAGCGTTTTTTCTTCACTCAAAACGTGAAAATAAAGGTATCTTCCGATAAGGACAGTTACCTATTCTTACACCTTAAAGGGACTATCCCACCTTCTAAAATGTTGTTGAAACCAGTTAAATTGTGCCCGACTTTATAGATTGGATGACCAGGAACACGGTCCTGGCATTTATTTTTCATTAAACATCTTAGGCTTCCCATATTCCAAACACAAACTTTCAAATATGTGACGTCACAGCCCAAAATTACCTCCTTCCCCAGGCCACATTACTGTCATAAAGCTGATTCTTTTTTCTCTGTAGGCACCACAACAAAGTTCAGACCAAGTTTTAAGCGATTTTTCAACGAACAAACCCATTTAAATCGGAATGACTAAACGAGGTGACGTCACACTAACGGTCGCCCATGTTGAAGATAGGGCCTTGTACAAGGCCCATTTTCAAATGAAGGGAACGAATTTCTTCAACACCAAGAGGCCGCGGGGGTTGCAACCTAGATAGATAGTGGTTTCTGAACCTCGCCGCAAACTTGGCTATCTCAACTCAAACCCCATGTTAAAGGTGGGATAGTCCCTTTAATAAGCTCCAGGACAATAAGGTGACGTGACGGAAAAAAAAAACAAAGGAAAGAAACGAAGATTTTATGCGGTATGACTGTCATAAGAAAGAGAAACTATCGTGCATGAGATTTTGGCTCCAGCGTTTCTATGCATGATACAGGTTTTAATTGTATTTACGTCCTATTCGCTCACGTCGCTTACCCCTAAGCACAATGAGGGTCATGGGATTAGATTTCCCGGTTTTTTTTTTACACAAGACATGGTATGAACTGAACTTGCTTTACGCTTGGCCTGGTAACTGAGCCGTTTAGCAGGGCTCGGTCATTTCATTGCTCAATTGTAAAATGCCGTTGGAATTGCTAAGCACTGTGCGCATAGCCGAGCTAGCGGCTTGAGTTCACTTTCTTTTGCACCGGTTCGGAACCAGCCGGGAGGAGCAAGGTCACGATCTGGCCCTGCCGTCTGCGGGCTGTACTAACTGGGCCACAGAATGAATTAGTCGCCGGCCGCGTCGGAACAGAACGACACGCGCTACCCCCGCCGGCCGCCGCGGACGCAGCCGCCGGCGCTCCCTGTGCCGTTCTTGCCCGCTGTCGGTCGGGGGGCCGACGGGCAACAAGGGCCCCCGTGACCGGTGCCGGCGGCGCTCGGCGGGCCCTTGCTGCTCGCGGCTGTGAAGTAGGTCACTGGGCTAGCCGCTATCAGACTTGGATGGGCCCTAAAGAAACCGAATTGGGTCAGCGCCGAATCACTTTCACTAGCCGCCGTACGGGTGTCAGTACGCGCCCAGCCGACGTGGGGTGCGGAGCGCGCCGAGAGCGCAGCGCAGCGAGCCACGCACGTGCACAGCGCCAGTGGTGACCGAGCGGCCGAGCTGGAGTCGGCCGACGCCGCGCTGGAGCTCGAACTGGACCGGCCGCTCAGCCAGAGGGCTGTCGGCGCGCCGGAGTCGCCCACCGACCACCTGAGCACCATGATCTCCGACATGGAGCTGCCGATGGCGCACGTGCCGCCCAGCTACAGCCCGCTGCCGGTGCACGGCGCGCCGCCGCACCAGCAGGGCGGCCACCAGGGCCACGCCGTGCACCAGGTGCCCGGCTACGGCTCCATGTCCACCTCCGCCAGCGGCCTGCCGGGTCTGACCAGCGTCAACCCGCCCGTCTACACGCCCGTGCAGGTCTCCAACGCCAGCCTGCTCGGCTCGCCGCTGCTGGACGAGCAGTGTCTGTTCTCGGCGGCGGGCGGCGGCGGCGGAGGCGGCGGCGGCGGCCTGGCAGGGCTGGGCGGCGAGCATGGCCAGTACAGCCTGCATCCGGAGCTGCCCGACACCAAGGAGGGTATCGAGGAACTGTGTCCCGTCTGCGGCGATAAAGTCTCCGGGTATCACTACGGACTGCTAACGTGCGAGTCCTGTAAGGGATTCTTCAAGCGGACTGTGCAGAACAAAAAGGCGTACACGTGTGTGGCCGATAAGAGTTGTCAGATTGATAAGATGCAGCGCAAACGGTGCCCCTACTGCCGGTATCAGAAGTGCATTTCCGTTGGGATGAAACTAGAAGGTGAGTTCCCGCTGGTTTGCCAGCGTGAGGAGAGGGGCGAGGGACGGGGCCCTTCATTCTCCTACCTGATCGGTCAGCATGCTATCCATCGTGTTCTGGCCTTGTGGTATGTGCTGTCCTCGCGTCACTCGGCTGCCATGGTTACCGGCAGGCTCTGGAAGGAAGCCTACCGAGTGGACGGTTTGTCAGTTCACTGTGCTCTTGCTTGCCTCTGATGTCTCTTGGGACCAGAACGGTGCCTAAACAAATTTCAGCATAAGCGTGATTTCAGTTGCAGCTTTGTTAATGTTTCATGCTATTACAGTGATTTTACACGTTTTTATTCATGCTATTATTTTCGTCAACTCCACCCAAAGAACCTGCATTCACACAGCACTCGATCTATAGTGCAACGACACCGTTTATTAGACGGGTCCTGTCCACATTTGGGCTTATTCTCTGTATTCTGTTCTGTTGGTGACTCACTGTTGTGCCCGACCCGTGTCGTAATTTGACCCACTTGTCCCCTGTCATGTCACAGTGCTGTGTTCATGGCGCGTGTGTGTACTGTGTCTTCATTGTCACCAGTCAGCCGGCTCGAAATTCAAGGTCGCTGAAGGGAATATGATGGATGGAGGTGCTGGCCTTCATGGCCAGGCGCTAGCTCCTTACCAATCTGTCCAGAGATTGACTTAATTCTGTAATGGTTGTTTGGAATAGTTGTCTCGACCTCTCCCGGTGAGATTTGTGGTTGCCCACCATGTAGAAGCCGTTTTGTATCATGCATCTCGAACTCGCCTTTGTGCTGCCCACCGGAATTCTTAATCATGGAGAGATACCTTTTCGTTAAGACCGACAACCGTCACTGCTAAATTTATGTCGTTGGGGCTGGTAGAGCACCCATATATAGCTGTTTGCGACCGCTTCATAACTCCGCCATGTTCCGCTGACTGCTGAGTTACCGACGAACGCCAGCCATTTCGAGGTTACACCGCTTCAATTTCGGTATCTGCTCCACTGACGTTGCTTTCAGTTCTTTAAACGGCTCATGTTCGGCCCCATTTTCTCTTCCACCTCGTTCCTTGGACCTATTCATTTATATTTTATCTTTCGTCTCCCCCATTTTCTCCCCCATCTCATCTTTCCGTCCTTCCCCGCTGACCCACTTCCCATTTACAATACAGTCCGTCTCCGTCTCCGTCTCCGTCTCCCGTTACCCGTCTCTCAGCGTCCTCTGCCGCACTTTCTCCGGAATCGGCGGCATTTGTGGTGACAATATCGGGTGCCTGGCCGGTGAGGGACGGCCTGATCCCCCGCCGACCCCCGCTGGGCGTCACGGGGACCTGCTCTCGCCAGACACATTGTCCGGTTAGCTGTGTCCTTCGCTGAGACAAATCGCTGGACCGTAGCGAAATTCCAGCACATGTGAAATTTGGCTCCGTTCATCGGTGCTCAGTGGGCCTTACCTTTATCGGGCATTTGGTTACATGGTCAGGTCTTTAAGAGCTTATAAATTGTGGATGATAACACACTACCTATCAAAGTGTTGTTCTTTAACGTGGGATCCTCTTAGGCTCGCCTGTTCGTTAGCTGTTTCGTCACGTACACATAACTCCACTTTGATGCCTCGTTTGTGGCGTTTTATGCCCGTCCAATGAGGCAATTCGGGAATGAAATTACCCCTGCCGGTCACCAGCGGTCGGTACGCTGTTACCGGGCGGAGGCGACCAGAGGCACGCGTCGCGCACTCGTCCAACCAGAAACCCGATGACAGGGAAGCCTCAGGCCGACGGTCGGTGAACACTGGATCCCATTAGACGTGACCTGACCGGGTGCGCCGCGCCCTGGCCGGGACCGGTGACCTGCCCCGACCTCGTGGTGAGGTCATACTCCCGCCTCTGAGACCACCCGTGCTTCATGGCGATCCATGACGACACTTTAGGAGCGTAATGAGCGAGCAGTGCGGATGTCCGGCTATATGGCCCAGCTGCCGTACGGTATTCTCTGAGGAAGTCATCCCGCCCTACCATGCACACTGTGGCAGCCCATCCTGGCCTGCCGCGGCCTGGCGTGCCGTGCCCGGTCGGTCGGTCGGGCGGGGGCGGTGTGAAAGCGCTGCTCTCTGCCGGCGTCTCTCGCCTTCCCGGCCTGAGTTACTGCCGGCCAGCCATTACCGGAGGGGCGTGTCGGCCGGCCGCCCCTGCCGCGAGGGGCTGTAACGCCGCCCCCGCCCCCGCCCCCGCCACCGCCACCGCCCGGTTAGCAAGTAGCCGGCACCACGCTACAAGGACGGCCGAGAGCACCGCTACCTCTAATGCACCCTCTCTCGGTAGGGCCTACCACTTTGCCGGGTCTACTCCAGTTATTAATATTCGAAAGAGTGATTACGTGAGGCATTGGTCGTTTCTAAATTATCGACAGGCTGCGGGCTAGAGTTATATGCATTGAGGCTTTACCACTTTCACATGTAACACATGTAACAATGAGTTAATCGTTCATTGCTGGAACGTGAAAGTGAATTATCTGATTTGTTTTCATGCACGACACACGTGTCCCGCATTGGCCGGCGCCTCGCTGTTGGCCCGAGATTGAACTGGAGCGCTGCGGTGCTGACGGGACGATGGAGTTGGATGGCACATCGATCTATGTAACACGATGGTGTTAAATATTGCTCCAGTCGTGCGTACTGCTGGCAGCAGTCTGCAAGAAACGGCAACGAATGTGTGCTTTTCTTTCGCGACCCACATCGGGTGTGCTGCAATAACACAGATGGCGTAAGAAATTTATGCCGACCATATCCACCGCACACGGCAACTGGGCAATCGAGCTAAATCGCGCCTTCCAAATCTGTGGCGTGTGAAAGGGCGTGAGACTCCGCCAAGTAACGGACCTTGCAGCCGGTTTATCCTCGCCTCCTACCGCTCTATTCCTGCAGCGGTATCGCGCACCCTCCTGGCAGCAACGTTTTTCGCAAACTTTTGCAAACGGCGCGGCATGCGCTGCGGCTTTCTCAACTGACCGCTTCGGCCCATGGATTCGCGCCGACACAATAGCGGATGGCGTGTTACGCAATGAGCGTCCGTGTCGCCCCAGCCTCGGGTCGCGCGTCCCTCCCCCACTTGCGTCACGGCCAAGACGCTCGGCAAATACCCGTGTCGACCCCGTGGGCGCGCGCAGGTCGTCACGGCCTGGGCCTGGAGCCTCGGGGCCACGAGGGAATAACAGTGAAGGCGTGATGCCGGAGCCCAACGTAAACTGTGACGGACCGGATGATTGTGTTATACATGTGCGTGCGCGTGTTTCCGCTGAACTAGCTAACGTCCGAAATTGTCCGTAAAGAACAGGGACGACCGAAACGAACCGTGAACCCACGCTGTCACTACGCAATCCTTGGACGGAGACAGCTGGCTGGACCATTGTGTAATGCTCCACTGTGGCATCGAGTCTGATGGTGCGACACCTTTTTCATGGGAATCGTGTGGATTAGAAGGAGAGAGGATGGCGCTTTCGGTCGAGATTGTGCACCTCGCCCGACGACCGGTGTCTTGTCGCCTGTGGCCAGCCCGGGGGTGAGCTAAGAGCCGTCAGACGGGTTCGTCCGGGTGTCGCAGTCTAGATCTTCATGTTCTCGGCTCGAGAGCCGCTTGTGCTGAGATCTGGAGAGGCGCTATTGATGTCACGGAGCCGCGCTACACGGCTAAGCCGTTGTTCGCTTGATAAGTAACATCTGTATCACGTTGGGATGGCGAAGGGAGTCTCCTGCCGGCGTCTTGCCTTGCCGTGACCCAGTATGGACGATGCAATATTCCCAGCTCTGCTATCCTCAGCTCGGTCCACGGATACTGTCATACCCATGTCTACATTTCCAGTCCCCCTCTCTTCCTTTCCTCTCTGCTGCGCCGGCGGCTCGGGCCGGCCGTCCCCGCGGCCCGTTGTGTAACCGGGTCGGGCCAGACGCGTCGCTGCCCGGCCCGCCCGCCCCAGGCTGCCGCACAGCCAGATGGCGCCCCAGGGCACGCATGCGACCGACCCCCGCCCCCTCCGCCCCCGGCGCAGCTCGAACTGGGTCAGCGGGTCCCCCGCCCCCGCCCCCGCCCCCTCCCCCGCCCGGCGGCCACGTCACAGGACGTGCGTGAGTGCTGAGCCCTGGCGTCAGCACTAGTGGCACGGGCCAGGGACGCGGGCTGGGGCAGGTGCAGCAGGTAAATGGGTGCGTTGCTAGGTCAGAATGTGCCTGGACTGGTCTGGGTCTGCCTCAGCTTCCAGGTTACCTAGTGGGCTGCACAAACTGATCGTTGAGTCAATTTGGGGGGAAATTGTCATGTTCAATGCTCATGCTCGGTGGCTGGCTCTATGTTCGCATGTCGCCGTGCCCACTCACCATACCAGCTTCACCCATTTCCGTTCTCCTTGTCTCCATACTTGTCCAGTGAAGCGGCGGCTCGACCGGCGGTATGGCAGCATTCGACGCCCTCCGAACTGACGAACGAAACCGATCGCCGCGGTCGCCGCCGCACTTTCCGCGATCGATTTACCGGGTCGGTCGGACCCGGCTCAGCGTGCTGTGAGCTCAGCGAGAGCGACAGTGGGGGCTCGAGCACAGCACACGTGCGGCCCGTGTGCGGGCCGACGCGCCCTGTCGTCGATATAGGTCACCGGGCGACACCTGACCCGCAGCTCGTCGGCTGTCGCCCAGCGTCCCCCGACAGCGCCGGTGTTTCCGCCACATCTGTCCGCTGTCCCCTCTGCGCTCCGCCGGGGCTGATCGTCACGTCACGCGTCGTCGTCACGAGTCATGTCACGCGCGCGTCATGCGTGTGACCCTGGCCTGGACTCGCCGCGACGCTCCGTGGGTTTTTGTCTCGCGCTGCGGCGTGTGTGCTGCACGCGGCGACGATTGTGGCTCTTACGTCAGCGCCGACGGCGATGCGGCGTTGTGCGCGCCGCGCTAGAGTGCTCGCCGAGTACCTTCACTTTCGGCGGCGGACGGCGGACAGCGGCGGCACGGTGACCTAAATCTGTCGTGTCGCTCGGGCGTCGTGTTCAAGTCAGCTGATCGGCCGTTGGGCCGGCTCAGCTCACAGAAATACAGCGGGAGTCGGTCGGCATGGCTAGGCTCACGGCGCTAGGACTTAAGACTTTGATGAGAATGAGTGTGCAGGAAAGATGGAAGAGGAAAGGTGTGCGAATGGGGCCACAGAAACGGCCTTGTCCTGTCGCACGCCAGAATGGTTGAGGGTAGATTTAGAAGCACGAACCGGCTAACTACTGACTAAGCTGTTCATAAGTCGTAAAATATTGGGGCTTATCGTGCAGAGGTCAAAGTCACCGACAGTTGAACTGCTGTGGACATAAAGCATGCCGGTGATTTGAAACTTGTTACGCTACTGCGTGAACTTTTATAAATTTACATTCTCTTAGATATTCTGGTCAGCCGCTTTTTACCAATAAACGTTCGCTTACCATATTATGCACAGTTTACAGTAATAGCTTGAAACTTAGGTTGGCTGTTATTTGCTCTCATTTGGTCCTGTTGTCTTGGTCATGCTATAGACGGTTCCACGGACGCCACTGGAGGTCGGGCTGCATTTCCATTTAGGATACCTACGGTGTTTTAGGCACCACCGCTGCCCCATCGCGGAGCAGCTACCTTCCTATGTATTCGTAGCCCCTTCCAGCCATGTTTGCGCGGAAACTATATCATTACGCCGCCGTTTCTCCGACCCAGTTAATTCAAACGGGTCTGCCAAGCCCCGCCGATATGTACCGCAGCCGCGTGCGGGCACGGTTCACCACCGGTTCCCCCAGGACGGCGGGGTGAAGTGTCAGACCATCAGACCTCAGACACCGCTCCATCCGATCCCCGGAGATCCATTACCGGGCTGGAGGCTATTCAGACGGCCGAGGCGCTCGAATTCTGTCCACCGCACCATGGAACGTTTCTCACTGCGGGAGGTGCGAGGTGGATTCTTGGGCTTCCTCTTCCCATGGCCAGGAATGCTGCGGTCAGAACCAGAGAAAGTGGTAATGACTTGCCGCCGACGGCGCTGCTGCCCTAGTCCTCAGTTTGAATTTTGGCGTGAATTTTATTCCACTGTCTCATTCAGGTAGAGTTGTAAAAGGGAGGTACGGGTTCTCTTGTGCGGCGACTTCAAGGCGTTTGTCCATAGCCACCAATTGTCGGTACGTATAGTTACCGTTTCCCAATGGGAGCAGCCAGCTGCGAGGCGTGGGACGCTGGGCTCCGGGTCGGTCGGCCGGCCGACCCCGTTCCCTGCCCTCCGCCACACAGAGTCCCGTGGCACCACGTGTTACCACGTGGTCGGCGCGCGGCGGCCGCCTTTCACCCGCGGTACCCGTCCCCCTCTCCGCGGCCCGGCGCGCTCCCCAGCGGGCCACCTGTACCTGTGTACCGGCGCAGACCGTTCACTCGGCTCCCCTGGTTTGTGCGGCTCCGGCCCGACCGTTCCACCCCTCACCCTGAGAGAGCGGGCCACTATCCACCTGTTGTTCCATCGGGGAAGGACCCCGTTTGCGGTACGGGGCCAACGATCCGCAATGCCGAAAACACGAGGGGAATGGAAAACAGGCCGCTCTAGTTTGCCCGGTGTTTTGCTCGCTCCACAAACGGTGCAACTATTGCGGGGACAGACCCTCGGCATGGGGACCGATCCAAACGTGCGGCAATGCCTGCCGATAAGTGTCGCTTTGTCACGACTTAACCAGAACTAGGTGTTTGAAGGCTGGATAAGACCGCTCACCGCTGCCTTTTTTCTGCCACTGTTCACGTATTTGTGAGTCACCTAACCTGGGCTGGAAACGTTCGTTCGACAGGTGAACGGCATTATTCCAGCGCATGTTTTACCGGCACGTTTACTTTCATGTAGCCTCAGTTACTTTTTATCCATCCGCACCGATACCACTCTCATCATAAATCCGATCATAAACCCAGTCATAAATGCGTTCCATCCTTTCCTTTTGGTTCGGGGGTGGCCCCGATCGTCGGGAACGCATGCCTGTAGGTGCGGGGGAGGGGTGGGGAAAGGACGGCCAGCCGGTGGAGAAGCCGCAGTGGTCTGCTGTGTGGTCCTGCGGACCGTACCACCAGGTGAAAGGGGCCGGCGGCGACGGTCCTGGCCGGCGCCGGTCGTCTCTCACTCGGGTGGAGATGTTAGGGCAGCGGCGGGACGGTTTATGGAAGGCAGACGGACGGTGAGGGGATGTCTCATAGGACTGGCAGGTGGTAAAAGTCGAGTCGACGAACCGCTGACATTGCCGCCTCTGACATGACAGTAGAAGCAAGAAATTAGAAAATAAATCCATTATATTTTATGGTTTCCATATTCAGACTGTGCACGAACGGCAATAATGAGGGCCGGCCCACCGTATGCATAGCACATGCTACGTTTCTGGGTAGCTAACTGCGCAACTCTCTGTCAAGTTCCGTGCCGATACCCACCGCGCCGTCCGAAATTCGACAGCTCCAATGGATCGGCCCGTTTGGTCGATGTGGGACCGCCTCATAAAATGTGGATCCACAAACGTGCTCACGTGATGAGAATGCTACTTTAATATTGGACGGAAGTTCGTTGAAGGGTTATTTTAATAATGTTATAATGAAATTAAAAAGCCCGACCGAGATAAACATTGTATGTGGAACGTTTAAGAAGCAGATTCTTTGCAGGTATCCATAGGGAAAATCGTAGGAGGAAAGCTTCTGCAGATGCCTCTGCCCATGCTTTCTGTAGCTGTCTCTTTATGAGACTGTCCCCGTACGTTGTTTACAGAGCTGATTAGGTGTTTCGTGGCGTCAGGTCACGAGCATGCCTGCAGGACCCAACTCAGCAATCAACCCACTCGAACCACGCATTGGCGAGCATTCACCGCTCACCGTCGCGTGCAATATCGGCGGGATGTCCGTTGTTACACAGGCGGTTTGCGGGTTCATTCGGTCACGCAGGGCGTTTTGACGAGCCCGAGTGGCGTGCCGCCCAGTATCTGGCCGATAAGATGTCCAGATTGTCGCCCAGACATCTTATCGCCGGCTTATCGTAGTGCGTTTACGTACACGTTTGTTCGTCCGTCCTGTTTATCGATAGCGCCCCAAATATGGGTCACTGGGTCAAGACATATGGGCCTTTGCGAGTAGGTATTTGTAGGCTGCGCGTCTCTAGAGTGGGGCGGGGCGCATGGAAGAGGCGTCGGAATGTCGTTTTCTGTCTTATAAAACCCTTGACCCTGATCCCAGTCCTCTATTCATAGAAGTGCTTTACCGATTGGTGTCCCTATGTATGATGCATGTATGTATGTATGTATATTGCATATGGATGGACGGATGGATATATGGATGGACGGTTTCGTCGGTATATTTGCACTCTATGTAGAGGAAGTCCAACCGGCACTGGTTCAAAGACGTGTTACTGCTCGGCCGTGAGGTGGACCCTGCGCTCTCAGGTCGTCCGTTTGTGTATGCGTCGGCTCATGGAACTGTTTGTCTTTGCTCTGTCGAACCATCGGATGTGACAACTGTGCCTGTGTAGATCGCTGCATTGCTGTGTTTCAACGCTCGTATCCGTTGGTGTGCCGTCTACCGGTCAATGATAGTACCAGAGTGGCCACTTGACGTTTGAACGCCCGCCCATCTCTTATCCAACTGCCGTATCGTGAAGACCGTTCCCTGTCGCATTCGTGGTATGTACCGTATGTGATGTCCCTGTGCTTAGTAATCTGGTCCTTTTGCTCATCGCTCGTCGGAAGGATGATTGTTGTCCTCAGCTAGTCTCCCGTGAGGATGCAGTCCTCCTTTTTCTCGCGACCGACGCTCGCTCTGCAGCTCTCCCCTACCTCACGACTGACTCTCGCTCTGTCCCCTTTACAGCGGTACGCCAGGACAGGATGCGAGGCGGTCGCAACAAGTTCGGTCCCATGTACAAGCGGGACCGGGCGCGCAAGATGCAGCAGATCCGGCAGATGCAGCTGATGTCGCCGCAGCGGGTGAGCCTGCCGACAGTGGGCACCGAGGCGGTCACCATCAGCTACGCCACGCCGACCACCTCGCTGCCGGTGTCGTACGGCGGCGGCGCCGGCGCCGGCATCTCCATCAAGCAGGAGATCCAGTACCCGGTGCTCAGCTCCACCTCCGCCTCGTCCCCCGACTCGTCGTGCTCGCCGCTGCTCGGCGGCGCGGGAGGAGAGGCGTGGGCGGCCGGCCGAGCTGGGGATGTACCGCCCATCGTGCGAGAGCTGGTCGCCTCGCTGGACGACCGCGACTGGCAACAACAGCTGTTCAGCCTGCTGCAGACCCAGACGTACAACCAGTGCGAGGTGGACCTGTTCGAGCTGCTCTGCAAGGTGCTGGACACCAACCTGTTCAGACAGGTGGACTGGGCGCGCAACTCCATCTTCTTCAAGGACCTCCGGGTGAGTACAGAGCGCCGAGTGGTGGAGGGCCCGGGGCGGCGAGCAACTGATGGACGATCTCACTTTAAAAGTATCGACACGTTTACTTTTGTCTGGTTATGTAAGGGTAGGTATCTTGGATGCTGAGAACCAGGAGGCATGAGCATTGAGCATTAAATTCAGAGATTTATGGAGCATCAACCTAACGGCGATGTGTTTTAGAGGTCATGAAGCGTAGAGGGCAGTTGCGATGGTATATTGCCTGTCAGCGCGAGCTTGACCTGCGACGTACTCTGGGGAAGTCATTCTGACGCATCACCGGATGTCGCAGAATGAACGTAAGCAAACACATCTGGAGATCCGTCTGCGGCGGCGGACAGATGGACCGTGCTCCGGGACAGTCGCCGGGCAGGCTGCCAGCTCATTTTCCTCCTCGTCCCGACCCGGGCTGCCGGTGACAGAGTGCCGATCGTACACAGCCTCATCAGGGCGTCAGGGGCTCGGCCGGCGGTCCCAGCGCGGTGTATCAGCCGCGGACGGGTTGGAGCGACAGGAAGTGGCCCGCTCCAAACCCGCCGGAACGAACATGACCCTGTACGGCGGCTCGGCTGGGCGGGCTGGCCGGCCGCGCACCGGGTCACCTTGACCCAACTGCAGCGCGCCGCCAGCGCCGCCCGCCGGCCGACAGCGAAAGTGACGCGCCAGCGGCGGAGCGGCGCGGCCGCCTGGTATCTGGGTCAGGGTCGCCGCGGTGCCGCGCTGACCTACTGCACTCGGCTGACCCAGTATTGGACCCAGCTATTCCCAGCCAGCAGCGCCACTCACAGGTGGCCGTCGATGACTGTGCCCGGGGGGGGGGGGCATAGGGGGGGCGGCGACGGGCCGATAGTGTCGGGCGCCCGACAAGAAGCGTTCCCAGCGTCGGCCAATTAGACGGCTAGTTTGTAATGGACCGGTCCTCGTCAGAACACAGAGGAGTCGTTTCGACAGGTGCCTCACTCCGTACCAAGGCTGACAGGGAGCGAGGTCCACTGCAGTGCACAATGCACATACGGGGTGGAAAACACAGCTCTCATGTGGCGTTGAATGAAGGCCACAGGACCCTTCTGGTAGGTCCGGGCTCCGGCGCAATAGAACGCCGAGGGACGAGCAGAGCTGTGAGTCTGGCACGGTGTATCACAACGGCACCGGGCTTTGCTGTAGGTATATCGACGTCAGGAGGTAGTAGGTACTACAGTGCTCTCAATGATAATTGATACCGATTTGATAGCACACGGGATTTAAACGTCACTATAGTCGTCGAAAGTGGTTTGCGCGCTGGTTATCGCCGGACGAGCGTGCATCACGGCTGTGTGTAATGCGGGCTCTGATTCACTGCCCGTATGAGGCAGATGACTCATGTGAGCCGATTTGGACCGGGATACAGGCCGATGGCAGCCGGCAGTCATGCCATCCATGCAGCCGCCCAGTGCCGCACACATCAAAGCATAGCAGCACTTCCGCTGGTCCATGTTTTACGGCTAACTCGCACCACCATATGCGTTGACAAATTTTAACACTATCATGCCCCTCCCCGGTAACAAGTCGCAAGTGCGCTTGTGTTCAGGCTAGCAAACAGACAGAGTTGTGCTTGTCTCCGTTCTCAGTGACCCGAAGGCTCATATTTTTGGGTACGCGTGACGTCACTAAGTGGCCTGGACCAGCTGACGGGCCTTGTGACATCACAGAGCCGATGACGTCACGGTCTGGCGCTGTTCCGCGTTGTTGCGGCGCTTGTTGTTTATCTCTGGCGGTGGTAAACAGGCACCGAAATGGGACAAGGTGAGGCCGCGCTGCCAGCCGCGTGCCGCCGTATAGAACGCCCGCCTGCCATCTAGCGGGAGGGCCGGAAACTACTGAGCGGGAGCTGCGGCGGCCTCAGTCCGTCGTCTAAACACAGGAAAAGCTTATGAGCCTGGCGGCAATGGTCAGAGTGCAGGAGTTCCGTGTTTTAATGAATGGAATGAGCGTGACGTGTGACAGCTCTGGATCTGGGCAGTGAGTCAGTGCATCTGGGGGAGGGGGGAGGATCAGCCGAGACTGGGATAGTCGGAGACGCTCGAGCCGCGCCCCCAGTTGCAGTGAGAGCGGACAGTCGGCCGAGCCAGGAGGCGGGCAGAGTGCCGAGGTCGCCGCTGCCGGCGCTGACCGCAGAAGGTCACTGTTGACTGTGTGTCTGCCGAGGGAGAGCTGAGGGGCGCCGCTACTTCCGGGGCTGACGGAGCGCTCGCTGAAGGCCAAGCCGGGCCCGGGGCGGCGCCGGCCGAGCTGGCCGTGACCGGGCCGCCGAGCGTCCGCCGCCGCTGACATGGCCGTCACGTCCGTCACGTCCGACACGTCCGACACTTCGAGTCAGAATGTGGCGGGATAATGACGGTGTGTGTGTGTGACGGACCGCTTGGACAGGGGACGAGGGCAAGGAACACTGGGAAAAGACTGAACACAGAGCAGGGACTGATGCGTGGTGTGCCCAGTACTCTCTTGCAATGGGTGTTCCCCTCAGTGGTGGGGGCAGATATGGATAATAACCCTGCCTAATAACTCGCCGTTCATACTACATTTGCATGAAGTCTTACATCAGGTGCAAGTTTACCCTCTGCACTCCCTCCCTACTCCGTCTGCACCAATACAGGCCTGTCGTACCCTGCAACCTCGCTGTTCTGTCATCTTCTGCACCTCTGCAGGCCTGTCATCTGCCTTCCCTCTGCAGCTCGTCGTTAGCTCAGTTATGCCAGTCAGGGCACGCACCTGCGTGTTTCCCCACCGAACACGTAATGGTGGAGTCACGCACACAGCCATGTGGGTCACGGACCACCGCTGCTGCTGCCGCCACAGCATTGACCAACGGCAGGCGGGCGCGCTTTGGCAACTCTTCCAACTGGGTCACCATCGTCAGCGGGGAGGGGGAGGGGGCGAGAGGGGCAGCGGAGGGGCTGTGAGGTAAGCGACGATGGATGCTGGCTCGTCGACTATCGAGCAGCCTTTCGCTTGCATCGAGCTTACGCAGCGTAGAGATAAAGGGGAGAAGCGCAGAGGTTATGGACTGCAAGGGTGTACGGACTCCGTACAGATTGTACGGAGCACGGGAACAAGCAAGCAATAGTATGGATGGATGGTGGTGGTGAGGGGGTGTATGTACGGACTGAAGAAATGAAAGGACAGGAACGATTAGCTTCAGCTGAAGCCCACTCAGCCGTGCGTATCCCATGTAGTTTGGTATTCACCATTCGGGAAGGTGCTCCGATTCTAATCGCTTTCGATGGGCGTTTGTTTGTTCGGTCATCATGAGACGGTGATTCGCTTCGGTGTGCATAGCAGTGATTTCCAATTTCGTCCTGAATTTGGAGCTTTGATTACCGACAGTTTCTGTCAGGCTCGTCAACTGCTCTTGCGACAAGGCGAGACACCGAGAGAATAATTTCATGTGTTTGGCAACGTCCTACGTTCTGTGGCAGCCACGATGGTCGTGCCTTGCTGAGTGGTGACTGACAGCGTGTCTATCCAGCTGGCGATTCTCGGGAGCAGGTGGTGTGAGGTAGAGCGTGTAACGACAGTCCGCCGGTCCCCAGATCTCTGGCCTTTCTCGGTCCCTCACCCGCCGTCTCAATGACAAAGGTGTTGCGATATATCCTTATCTCTTATATATAATTAACCTTCGCCCTGGTGGGGGGGGGGGCCATTTTGGCCCCCCCCCTGTGGTTTTTCAGCGATAACTCAGAAACCACTTGAGTTAGCGCCCTGAAACTTTGTATAGCTGTTTATTCAACATTTTTACATCATGTCCTTTTTTGGGGGGTTCGGGTCAGGTCAGGTCAGGTCACAAGGTCACCAAAACTGACACCACCTCTAAAAAAGTTCAAAGCTCTCTCAAAGGCACAGCTTTTATCCGATCGATGTAAAATTTACAGTACTTGAAGATGTCACCCAGCTCTACAAAATGGCTATCTCGGATTTTTTATAAATGTGACCTAAGGTCAGGTCAGGTCATCGCTGCTCCCCATTATAAGTCAATGGGAGAATCGAAAAGTAGTTGTTTTTCAGCTAAATCGGGCGTGATTGTTCCTATATTTCGTTATTGAAGTGTCTTGGGTCAGCAAATCACAGCCCATGTGAAACCATTTGCTTGTGACCTCGCTGAGGTCACGCTAGGTCATCTCCCTGGTCACCAGAGGTCACCAGCGGTTTTTCTGCACTTACTTGTTATTGAATAGAGATAGAGACTCCATTCGACGTTTATCGTGTTTGTCTCGTCAATGCGGATCGAATGATATGCAGCATGACCTATTTCGGTAAGGTCATGACCTTGACCTGAGGTCAAATTTTCAAAATGACCTTTCGAGGTCAAACTATATATCATTCGACGCGTCTCGACGAGCCAAGCACGATGGTGCATGAATCGTTTCTCTATTTTCTCGTGAATGCATGCTATAGTTAAAAACATTTTCAACGAAATTTGCCAAGTTGACCTTGCATGACCTCTGTAGGCCAAACCGTTGAGCTGAGGTCAAATCTGACGAACCTTGGCGAAAGAGCTTGAAAAGAGCTATCGATTGCTTTTTTCCGCGGCTCTCTAGCTCTTCTAGTTTCCGAGCTACAGCGGAATATGTCCGGCAACACCGAAAACACTGAAATTTGACCTATGATGACCTCTAGCGACCTCAATATTGACCTTAGCGAAAAAATGACCGAAATACTTTCGAACGTACTTGTTATGGGCTTTCGTTTGCTTTTTTCCGCGTCTTCCTAGCCCTCTTCGTTTTCGAGTTAGACGGGGGGGGGTCATTTTGGCCCCCCCCCCCACCAGGGCGAAGGTGGCTCAGACCCACACCAGGGCGCGGGTTAAACATGTGCGAGATGCGTGCACTTTTTATGTCCACAAAAAGAGAACTTTTTAATAATCGAACTTAGGGGAAAATAATCGAATTTAGGGACCATATATTATTATATATGCAACCTGCAGGTTACTGAACATTACTGATCTTGCATGGCATACCGGACAGCTGCCGGTATTGGTAGTGAACGGCTCGCAGAATAAAACCCTGTGGCGCGGCCGCTCTCACAACTGTGAGAGGTGTGATAAGTGCGCCAACGGGTGAGAACGGTGTGAGACAGTCCTCGGAGGACAGCCCCCAGCACGCGGACCGGCGCACTGCTCACCGGGTGAAAGTGGCCACAGGATGTTACCAATGGTACGGGGACTATATTGGGAAACGGTCACCTGCGCCGGGCTGTCTTGACATATGCAGATAATGCTACCGTTCACGGGGCTATGGTGGCCGAGTGTCGACATGATTAAATAAAACCACTTGCCACCAAGGTGGCACAGCCTGGCAGTCGCCGTTGCCAAAACACTGCAACACTGCAACAGGCAACACGTTCAAATAAGCCCTAGTATGATGACAAATGTTGTGTCGGCCCAGAACTGGTTTTGGCGCATTAGGATACAGGTGCTCGGTCGGGCGCGATGTTGGCGAGACACGGAGGGCGACGAAACATGCAATCCGTGCTGTGGTAGCGTTCTCAAGGAGCAGGTATACGGTGCAATTAATGCACGGAATCTGTCAGCACCTTTTGTGTAGCGCACGGAGCGCACGATCTTTCTCCTATCACGAGTCGTGGCATAGCTAGCGGTTGTCGCACCGTTACCGCACGGGCTAGCCACCGTTTGTTACTGATGGCTTTTGAATGTTATACACAACGACGCTCGACGACAGACATATATCCCTCCACACTATTTGTCAACTGCGTTTTATATTATGGCGGCATCGAATGGAGTCCGTCCGTCCCTCTTGGTCTTAATTTGTATCTGTGTCTCCGCTTCTATTGTCCGTAAATCCGCCTATCCGTCAATCCGTCTATCCGTCTCTGTCTATCTGTCTGTCCGTCTATCCGTGTCCGTGTCCGTCTCCGTCTCCGTCTATCTGTCTCCTTCTATCCGTCTCCGTTTGTCCGTCTGCCCTTCTGTTTCCCTCCGTCTATCCGTATCCGTCTGTCTGCCCGTCTGTTTCCCTCCGTCTATCCGTCCCCGTCTATCCGTCTCCGTCTGCACGTCTCCCCGTCTCCGTCTGCCGGCCGTTCCCGCCGTGGTCTGAGAGGCCTGCCGGCCGTCTCTGCAGCCGAATCCCCGGCCGTGGCCCGGGCGGCGGCGCCTCGGCCTTGGAGCCAGTGAAAGTGGCGGAATAAATGGCTGTGATGGCCGGCCACGCACTGCCGCCCGTCGGCCCTCCCAGCCGAGGCTGCTCGATGGGACGGGAAAGGGGGACGGACAGGGGTGGCGGTCCCCCGGCCAGGGAGGGCTCCGGCACTCCGGCAGCTCACGGTGCCGCTGTCTGTTACCGCCGCGCCGCCGGAAAACGGCCGACCGGCCGCGCTGAGTCCGTCTGACTCATGAGCCGCCGCCGGCCGATCTGGTGCGCTGGGAGCGCGGCGGTCCTCTAGACGCCACTTTCCGGCGTGCGGGCTCTACTCCGACCGCCGGCACTGGAGGATGCTTCCTGCTGCTCGGCGGCGGACAGGCACCACGATCTGACCAGGTCCGAGCCGGGTTTTTGTCGCCGGCGGCCGACCGGTGACTTTGAGGAGCGGTAGAGGAAGGTCAGGCTCCAGACCGCCGTGCAAATAACGCCCGGTGGGCGACTGCTTCCTCCAGGTCCAGATTGTTATTGTTGAATGCAGGTATTACCTGCGAGGAGCGGTAAAAGCGTCCGAGCGATAAGGAAAACGGTTTCCCTTCTCATAGCCGATTTTGTTTCGATACCCTCTGCTGGTGTTGAAACTGCAGAACAGCGAGGTGCCCAGTGAGTCGTGCAACTGCGACCCAGGACACTGTATGGAAAGTGACTGACAATTTACATGCCGATCTGTCTGCGCAACTGCTAGCATATTCTCCAGACCGATTTATTACACCTACACATTGACCAGTAGGTGGCTAATGCTGTCGTTCACAAAACGGTGCTGCCATTGCTGATTAGTAAAAATAAGTCATATATGGTCCATTTCGCAGCTGTCAGGCCGTATCCCAAGCGCAAGTCCTGAGGGATTCTTGTCGCTGCGTCCGTCGCCACCATTAGTGGCGCAGATGGAATTAATCGCCGCTCTTCTCGCCGCACCTGGCTCCGTCGTTTCCGGGACCGGCGGTGGGCCGTTTTTACACCCCTGGCCTGTCGGACCCGTCACAACAGCTCGTCTGTGAGCTGGTGTGTGCGTGACCGACGTCCCGTTACCCGCAGCGGGTGATCCGCCCGCTGCGGCCGGCGCCGGACCGGCTGTTGAGCAGGGCTGGGCTCCGAGAATATCCGCGATATCTCGTAACTAGCGAAGTCCCGGAGATGAGCTGAAGCTATTTCAGATCCCAGAGAACCTACACAGTGTATGTAGACCACAGATGCCGATGAGCCGACCCAGTGTGGATCTCGGAGATCCCAAGGAGCCGATAGAGCTCGTTACATGCAGAGCCGAGGGGGCTGGCGTGCATTCTGCACAGTGCACAGGCCATACAGTCGGCGGCCGGTGGTCTGGAAGGACCACAGCAGTAGGGAAGGTCGTTCAGCGAAGGTCGCTCAGAGCCAGCCGCCGGAGTGTGATCACTAAACCGGACGACTCAGACCTCGTTGCGTGACGGCCAGTCATACGAGATATGGTCGGATTGGCGCGGAATCAGAACCTAACACAAAGACATTCTGGGCCCGGCCACAAAAATCGGCTCTAGCAACCTACCGTTTTACCGTGTTCGGCAGAAAGTCCGGACACACCTGCGGTCACCATTGCATAAGCGTGCAACACGAGTCGATGTCAGCTCATCGTGCGGTTTCAACAGTGGGGAAGATCGGTTAAATCTGGTGCCACTTTTCGCATTCCAACAAAGGACATCGCACGGCAAGGACGGACTGGTTAACGGTGGGGCCGCCAAGCCGACACGCCAGCTCGTTTCAGAACAGTTTTTGTTGTGTTTGACGAGCCGTTGACGGGCAACCTTGGGCCTCGGCTTTCATCAGCGCAAGGCTTCGTGGCTGTCCCTTCCGCGTCGTTTTCTGCCGCTCTATGCACGGTCGGCAGAGCAGGGCAGTGGCTATAGTGCTAGACCTGCTCAAGGATCCAAAGGAAAAGTCGTCTGCTGCTCCTTTTCACGGAATGAGCAATAAACGCTGTAACATCTAACAAATTAGATAAAATCAGCGTACAAGTGGATGTAACTCACGTCGATCAAAGCAAGGGGGATTAAATCATACCCAGGTATAAGCGTAGAAAAGACACAAAATGTAACAAAAAGCAAAGTAAAGCAGTGTAGTGGTCAGTTTTCGTGTCTGCTGACTGCGTTTTACGTTTTTTCTCTGTCTGTTCGGCAGGTTGAGGATCAGATGAAGCTGCTGCAGTCCACGTGGTCAGTGATGCTCATCCTGGACCACATCCACCAGCGGCTGCACAACAATCTACCCGACAGCACGGTCCTGCCCAACGGCCAGAAGTTCGACCTGCTCACCCTCAGTCTGTTCGGCATGGCCGAGCTGCTGCCGCAGCTACACGACATCACCAGCCGGCTGCAGCAGATCGGGTTTGACGTCTCCGACTACATCTGCCTCAAGTTCATCGTGATGCTCGACCCGAGTGAGTGGTTTGAGCGGGAGGTGGGAGCAAGTGGGGTGGAGGGAGGGTGCTTATTTTGGGAGCTCTGGAGCTTTGTGAGCATTAGGTTTAGAGTCAGGTGTTAAAGTTATTATCGCCTTAGTGTCGGACGACGGCTCAGGGATTCAGTTGCAGAAAATGTGTCGACGCTTTCGCAACACGGGAGTCGGTGACTTTGTTAGAGATTAGTCATGGTTGTGTAACCCGTATAAATAACGAGGCTGGACAGGAATAGAGTGGGATAGTATGTCACATGAAGGCTAATGGGAATCGGTATTTAATGACACTTGACACACTGAAACTAAATTTTGCTTAATTCCATCAGCCGTGCATCCTGTAACTGTCGATATGAGGAAACCATGATCTTATCCTTGACACACTGATGTGCTGCCTCTGGTTTTGCAGATCTGCCGACTCTGAGCAATCGACGACTGGTGCAGCAGGCGCAGGATCAGATCAACCAGGCGCACATGGACTACTGCAGCGCAGCCCACCCCGACATCCAGGTGAGGACCGCTAGGTGGCAGCACTGGTGCAGTGGAGGGCAGGTGGCAGCACCGCTAGGGTGCGCTGCCAGATACAGAGGGCTGCTCTTCATCAAGTAGGGGATATTTAATGGAAGGCCAGTACCTATAGTGAATGGAAGTGAAATGTGCAGGACCGACGATTTCTTCAGCTGCGAATTCTCTGCAAGCTTTTTATTCGGGAACAGCACTGTACCTGCACATGCAGGTACGCGAGATAGCACCTACGTTTTTTCCTGAAGGCATCTCGCCCCCTTATGCTCGATGTTGTCGGGTATTTTCATTCAGGTCTGACGATGACGTTTGTTCCTAACAGAGTAAACACCAGCGTCTAATGGCCCTGCTGCCCGAGCTGCGGGAGCTGGCCCACCGGGGCGAGGACTACCTCTACCACAAGCACGACACCAACAGCGCCACATCGCTTCTCATCGAGATGCTGCACGCCCGCCGAGGTAGGTGCAGACGAACACTGGGACGTGGGATTGATGGCCTTACTACTTGCTAAGTATTTGAACTATTGATCTAATACCAAGTGGTATTCGAATGAGAAAGTATAGCTCGAAGTTACTGCTGATCAGCATGTTATGTTTTTACGCTATTGCTCTAACGCTGATCTTCGCAATGTCCACCATCATTTTGTTTCAATTTTCATGCCGTATCCATTGGTTGACATTAAATAATTTTCCTCACAGCAGTCCTGGGACGATCGCCCTCCCACTGAACCTAGGCACGGCGAGTTGAGAATTGTCAAGTACAAACGCCGAGGCTAGCGCCGCGTGGTGGTCGATGAGCGAACCAGCGCTTACAACGACGGCCGCCGGCGGCGCTGCTGCAGTCTCACGTGTTCATTGGACTCTGTCCTGGATGGAGGGCCGGCCGGCGGGTGGGCCGGCTCGGCGACACTGTGACACCGACACTGTGTCAAACTGACACCGGTGTCTGACTGCGGGTAGCCCATGGCGGGCGGGCGGATGGCTGGCCGCCGGGCTCCGCGCAGGCGCAGTATTGTGATGTGATGCCACGCGTGCAACTAGATATTCTTTTTTCTCGCGCCGCGGAGGCAGGCGAATGCAACTAAGAGCACATGTGTGATTCTCCTGCGTGCGTTTTGTATGCGTCGGGAGTGTAGGTGTAAGCGGACGGTGTTCGTCCAAGTACGATAGTTGTTGATCATGTGTACGTAAATTCACCTCACGTACCTGAGAGTAAGGAACGCGCCGTTACGGAAATCCGTATTTTGCTACTGAAGGAACGCGAGTGACGGGAGCGCTGGACGCTACGGACTGCGACGGCTGCCTATGGTGCTGCCATCTGTGAAAGCTCTCAGCTATGGTGCTGCCACCTGCATGGGCTCAGCCCAGAGGCGCAGATGGCCTGGGATGGAACCACGCGTCGCGCACCCTTGACGGACCTCGAATGTTTCCATATTGTTACACACACAATCGCGCAGAGGGCGTACTAGACCCCGAGAGTTTGTGAGCGAGTGTGGTAGGATGCGCGGATAAAAGAGGGTTCGGGGGTGAAACTGTACCGCAGAGGTGGGCACCGGAACCCGAGGCGGGATGGGACCCCAGATGGTGTCGGTGTAGTCAGTGCTATTGCCCTGTGTTTGCATGCCTGTGTGTGTCTGTGTTTGTGTGAGTGTTTGCATGCACTTTGTGCTCGTGCGTAGCTTGTGTTTCTCTACCACTTTGTCGTCTACCTTTTCCCTGAGAATCGGTGACATCCGGGAACATAGGGCATTAATAGTACTGTGCGTCCGCGCCTTCTGAGCGCGAGTCCTCGGTCCTGGTGGTGGCTGGTGTCTGTGTGACTGTGGGGTCGGCGCGGCTCGCTGTAGTGGCCTGGTGGCTGCCTGCGGGTGAATGTGTGCGACTGACTGGGTGCGAATGTGAGTGTTTTATTGTAATATCGTACAGTGTTAACCCGCGCCCCGCTGGGGGTCCTGGATTTCCACGCCCTGCTGGGGGGGGGGGGGGGTGTTTGAACACCCCCCCTTGTAACTCGGCTCCTGGGCCACGTAGCGATACGCGGAAGGCGGCGTTCGAAAGAGCGTCAAAAATAATGACGAAATCACTTCGGTCAATTTTTTGGTCAGGTCAAAGGTCAGGTCACCAGAGGTCATTGAAGGCAAAATTTCGCCGATTTCCAGGTCGAATGTCGAAAATTTCCAAGAAGCCAACGCATAACTCGGGAACCAATAGAGCTACAGCGCCGCGGAAAAGCGCATTCGATAGCCCTATTAACGCCCTTTCTGAGTAATTCTCTCAGATTTGACCTAACGTCAACGGTTTTGCCTGCAGGGGGCAAAAACTGAAAAAATAGCCGATTTTTTCGAAAACAGTTTTTCTGCAATAACTTTTGACCCAAGCCTTGTACGAGCTTACTTTAACCGGCATCGTGTTCCTCTCGTCAAGACGCATCGAATGAACTATAACTTGACCTTGAAAGGTCAACTTGAAAATTTGACCTCAGGTCAAGGTCATGACCTGACCGGAAAGGGTCATATTGCATATCAGTCGATCCGTATCGTCGAGCTGAACACATCTAAGGCGTTTTCATCGCTCTAGCATGCGTCTATCAAAAGTTATTTGCGAAAAACTGTTAGATGCAATTAGTGACCTAAGATGACCTCAGGGCATAAACAAGGATCACGGACACCATTTTCATGTTCAGTGTGTCTAAACTACTTGTAATTCGGTGTTTGGGAGTGTTTATAATGTCTTTCATCCAAAAGAGGCGCATTTCAATTTTCTCCCATTGACTTATAATGGGGAGGTCGCAAAATTGACCTGACCTTAGGTCATCCATATCAAAATTCTGAGATATACATTTTGTACATGCTATTGCTCTTAGCAATCGCTGAAAGTTTCAAAGCGATCGGTCACTTGGTGTAGCTTTGACAGACATTGAAAGTTTTTATGAGGTGAGGTCACTTCAAGTGACCTGGTGACCTGACCTTGAATGACCTTGGTCTGAAATTTTCACAACATGTGTAGAATTGATGTATGATAAGGTGTACCAAAAACGGCGGCGCTCCGCGCCGCCGTTTTTGAGATATTCGCGAAAAACCACAAGGGGGGTGTTCAAACACCCCCCCCCCCAGCAGGGCGCGGGAAGGCTGTTTGGGCACAGAAGTGAAGGGCGTAACGTATGTTTTACGTCAATATGTTTTGATCCGAAGGGATAGCTTACTAATTTCGAAACTTCCCTTCAAAAAAGATATTAAAAACACCTAAAAATATTTCTTTTCTCGTTGTTTCCCTTCTGTGGGAAATTAGCTCTGTCCTAGAAATCCGATGACCAGTTGTAACATCCGATTATGTCGTTTTGAATTTCGATTTTATTGCCAAGGAGCACGAGACTGCCTTAGTAATATAAGCTTCGCTAGGTTCTAGTGTGCCCAAACATTGCCTTGGAATGAATTATGTGAGTTTGATTGTTTGGTTTTACACCATAGTATAGCTTTTACTATACAGGCGTCACTGTGAGTCGCGCTAATTTTAGCCAGTACGTGCTATGTGGTCTTACTAACAATGTGTATGTTTTTAGTGCCCTTGTTCTGTGTCTTTCTCGGTCGTTTCGGTGTGGCTGTGTCATACCGTACCCCGTGCTGTCCGGTATCTACCGTTTCCATGTCCCTGGCGAGCGCCCCGTGCGTTGTGTCCTAACAATCCCCCCCCTTCCCCCCTAGACCGCTGTGTTCAATGGTAGGTTAGCTGCCCGACCTCTGCTCAGACGAGCCGTCACTGACGCCACAAGGCGCATCAGTGACGTATTTTCGTCTGATAGCAGTGGTCGGTCGAGTAGGCTCCGCTAGTCAGTGGCTATTGGTTACTAGTCAGTCCCACACTGTGTTCGGTCTGCTCCCACCCCCGACCCCCTGCCTCCCACCGTTTAGGGCCGTGGGCTCCCCCCCCCCCCACCGTTGGGTGAGCCAGCGGTGGTAGCTGGGTCACCTTGTTTGTATGTGTGTGTGTGTCCCCTGCTGATGGGTCCCGGTGTCCACCTCTGCGCTACAGTAACTCTCCGAGGGAGGCGGAATGATTGTCTGCGCGCACGTCTGAGCGTCTGTCTGCTGTCTGCGGTAACTGCGCGCGATGTCTGCGCGCGCGGCGGTGCACTAGCCTAGAGCACACATTGTCTTAGTGGTTTGTCCGCGAGCGGCAGGCGATTTACCGTGGTAGTCGTCGAAATACAGCTATATCACCGATCGTGAACACCGCGAGTTTGACAAGGAGAGAGGAGAGGAGAGGGAAGTTAAGGAGAGAAAGAGATGTCAGAAAAGAAACTGAGAAAGTGAGGGAATAGGCCGACGGCACTACGCCCCCATCGATGAATGGGGCAACGTGCTTCCTGTAGGAAGCTTATTTTCATCGATACAAGTAGGCTTTATTGTGGTCAGGTCACATTATGTGACCAGGCATTTATTTACCTGTGCAAGGACGGTGGCCCGATTGTAACACATGGAGTCAGGAGGGGCGTTTTGGACGTCACCCTCTAACTCTTCAGCCTGGGCCGCGGCTTCTGTGATTTATGTCCGGAAGAGATGCATTTATTTTTTTCTTTTTACTTACGGAGAGGTCGCAAAATTATCTTAGGTCGCCCGTCGCCGAGATATAAACTGAGATTTTCCTTGCGTCACCGATGAGATATTTCCTCTCGCTCGCCTATTTTGAGATTGCATAGTTGCACCCAATTACCGTCGTCATGCTGAGATGGGCACGGTAGGTATGCCGTTACTAAGAGATCAACATAAGGCCGTCGGGCTGAGTTGGGCAATGGGCACCGTCCACTATCCGCCGGTGCCGCAGTTGGCAGGGGCGCTACGTTCCACCGCTCCCCGATCTCCCGCACATCACTCCGCCATCAGCAGGCGCTGATGTGTGACATCACGCTCCTTTCCCGGCCAGTGAACACGTCATAACCCGGCGGGTCGTCCATGTTTCAGTCTCTGACCACCGCGAGCAGCCTGCATTCGCGAGCAGCCGACCGGCGGCCACACCGCCGATTTGCATGTCGTGAAACGGTGTTCTGGCGGCCGGGGAGTGGTCCTTCGAGATCGGTCAGATGATATACGTACCGTGAGTCGGTACCGCCGGTCACTCCGCAGAAATGGCACCGCAGAGGTGCGCCCGCGTGCTCGGTGTTCCAGCAATGTGGAGAGACTATTCTGGGCACGCCAGCGTTCGCGGAAAGGTTGCGTGGTCAGATGGGTGCACCTGGCGATTGGATCTACCTTTTGAGCGAGATTGCCCGAGGGTTCGCCGCTCGGGCGGCAGCGACCGGGTGATCTCATGTGGCTATGCTTGTGGGGACGGCCATCACATGGCTCAGAATTCCAGCTTCTTGGTGAGATGAGCATCTCAATCTATGTGCTATGCATAACACCCTTTCGCCTCATCGCTGCTCCCTCTGTCTCAGTCCGTCGCTGCTTGAACGCCACCTAGCGGTCAAAGTAAGAACATCCTCAGACCGACATATTGATTAAACCAGTTACCGTCTACTGGGACGATAAATCTGCCATAAATCGAATATCCATACAACTGGTTATAGGCCATCCATGGATCTTATGAGTGTAAAAACGGCTATGTTTGAAGCAAAAACCTGAATCATGACATCATCTAACGTTCATTCGGAAAGCGCAATTAACTGCCTAGGGGAAAGTGGGGTAAGACGGTCAGGGTAGGTAAGACGGGCACCCCTTCTGCAGACCAAACCAATAGCGCTACGAGCGAGAAAAATTAGGACCAGAATTGCCTTTCCCACTACACACCACCATTGAAGTCTGGTGAATTTGTGTTCAGTCGATAATCTTTTATTTTGATTTCTTTAAAACACTCATTTCACTGAAAACATCCATAATGTATTGTGCAAGCTTTTGTGTGCAACACTATAGAGTTAAAAACTCGCAATCATTTGTGGTACACTCATATGCCACCAGTGCTCATTTACCGCGGATTTGCTTTGTCTGCATAAAATTGTCCACAGAGAAAAATCGTGCTGAGCTTCTGACATTGAGTTTGGGGTAAGACGGGCAACTATGAATCCAATGGGTCCAGGGTCTGTAAAAGTGAAAATATTTTTGTTGCTGTAGGAAAAAAAGAAGCATTTCTAATCAGAATATGTTCGATTCCGATACTCACAGACATGTTAGCAATATTCCTTCGGCACAGTTTATTCTCGAATAATGAATGTGAAAAACGGTTCTACATGGCTTCTGAACTATAGGGCCTATATACGAGCATACGCCATCTGCACGAATCTCGTATACTGCCATTTCTGAAGCACTTGAGACCAACGCGCGACTGTATCAATGTGGCTAATCTCGGACATTTGTTGCGAGCTGTGCTGACTGCTGGTCGGTGAAAGAAGCTGGCCGTCTTGCCCTACCCATGTGACCGTCTTCCCCCATGGGGTGGGGTGAGACGGTTTTTTGCAAGGTTTTGCAAAATAGCTGCAGTTTATTTGTTGAATCAGGTCTAAGTCTCATCTTCTGGCAAATGGAAGCAAAATGTCTACAAAAGGTTTTCACCAAGTTTCCCGTTTCTATGATGTTTCTAACCGGCCGAAAAATGGCTCCAAATTTAAGGTGCCCGTCTTACCCCACTTTCCCCTACTTGGTGCTACGCTTCTTTGGATATGGACTGGTATTGACTTGTGTCCTGTATCCAGGGCTGGGGCAAGGGTTGTGGCGTCCCAGACGCGGCGTCGTTTCTTTACGGAGAACAAAATCGGAACACCAGACAGACGACAAATACAAATAATCCAGCCTTTTGGGAGCTGTTCGGCTGTCAGTTTCCGATCTGACAGTACTCGATTCACATGGACAATCGCGGCAGTGGCGGCGCGGGGCTGCCTCTCAGGGGTGACGGCCGGCACTGTCCCTCCTTTCTCGGCACGGGTCGGCCGCCGGCTGCTGTGCCTGTGACCATATCGGCAGATTGATAGACATCAGGGGCCGGTGGAAGACGCAGCTGGCCGGCCGGTCGGGGTGGAACAGGACGGCACCCGACTACGTGATAGCTAGGGATTCAGCACATCTTTACCACATCAGAAACAATGTTATAATTGATCTAATTCTACATGCATTGCGGATCAAGAAACACAAGCACAAGCAAGTGACGCTGTCATTCATTTCCTCATTCAATACCCCGAAAGTTCATATATTTCTTTAAAGAAGGGCGCATGCAACCATGATTTACGCCTCTACGTAGCCCAATGTTTTCGTACCTAATAATTACTTATCTGGTTTATGGACATAGACAATATGCAAACATACACATCGCTTTACGTAGGCATGAATTCATAGCGATACTGTAGAAGTCTAAGGGATGCTCATTCGTCGAATACTGAGCATTTCTCATTACGATCAAGCGTCTATTCTGCATCAGCTCATATAATTGGCTGGAGCGATACAGATTAATGCATGGGTCACGGTTATCTAATTTTAGTTTCATTCATTTAAGCCATTCTAACTATGCAGACCTAAACTATGCGGTTCAACTTTGGGATTTGTGTTTTCTGAGTTAATTCACTTGTTGTCATCGGCACTTAACTAGCATTACTCGATGGCTGTGTGTTGGCGTAACGTTTTCACCTCAAAGCATTCACAGGTTCTTTACTTACCGCACAGTTTTAAAACGCACGGTTCATTTCGCCGGGGCATACCTAACGCCCCACTTCAGTTTAATTTCCGTTCGTCATAAATGTTGGCCGTGAATGTTAACTTCGGAGAATAGCTGGCTATAACTTTGCTAGACGACTTTAGTCGCATACACATTTGCCGCCGTCTTTGGAGTGAGCCGGACACACCCGAGTCCGACAAATCGATCACTTATAAAGGTAGGTAGGTGCTATTCGCTGGCTCGTTGAATAAAACAACCATTTTAATTTTCATGCTGAACAAAACCTAACCATTTTATTCAGCCCCATGCCCATCACCGAACTAAAGATTCCTTTTTAAAACCATACGTTTATCACAATGACAAATGCCAATTGAAATTGTATGCAAAGACGAAAAAGATAAGAATCGGACAGTGTGGGATTGCTGATCGGATCGTTGGTTACCTTTCGACATCGACATATACGGCGTTCGACCTATACTGCGCTTTAGTATCGGGGCGGTCTGCCCCGCCTGATCAGGAATTCGAATTCCGCGGTTTGTCTTCCGACTGTAGGGTCCGACAGTGCAGGTCGTATATGTCCCGGTTGATGATATCGAGCAAATAAAACTGATCAGGTATCGGCAGCACAGATAAGCAGCTCCGCTTATCAAAAGGTGCCGATGTCATTTATAATACAATTTGATTGATAGTTCTCCTACTGGAACCTATATTTATGTATGCGTTAGCGTATGGGTAGCTACATCACTGAGTCTGCAGCCATATAGGAATGTCAAAACTCAAAAGCACTATTGATTCTTTCTTAACAGTTGCCATCTCAAGGTCCTACTCCATTTTACTTATATCATAGGTAGGGGAAGCCGGGGGAAGCCCGGCATAGTAAGTTCTTTTTCATTTTTTATGACATACCTATTACCTGGCGACTTGCGTGATGTACCTATAAAATGTTGATATCCTGTTAGCTAGATAAGTTAATTGGCCGTATTGTCCTAAAAACTTGGTATTGTGGAAATAGTATAAAGTTGCGAAATTCGAGTTTTAAAAAAGTATAATTTTTCTGGGGTAAGCCCGGGATAGGGGTAACGCCGGCCACCTCTCCAGCGCTTTACAACGAGTTGATGAAACCATTATGTGTCTTTCAAATATTGACGGAAAGTGAAATATTAAGGTACTCTTTAGCTCTGGACATCTTAGAGTTTATGTCACTACTGGTATTTTAGCTAGCGTCTATCACATATAGAGCACAGGTCGATGAAAATCGCATTGCAAAATTGACAAAAAATGTGTGCTTCAACATTCCTTAAAATTTTCTGAGAAGTGGAAGCGATTGTTTTATATTTATACTCCGATCCCCTTGAAATATTACCTATCCACCAAATTTGCACGGGGGTGACATTCTCTTATGGGTCCACCTCCCCGGTCAATTAGGTGTTTCTGAGTGCCATAGGAGCCAAGAGTTACGGGAGTGTATCCATCCCCTTCAGCCGTCCGCAGTATGAAAAATGCTCTCGCCTGGCGAGAGTAAAGACGTGGTATAAAGATAGAGACCCTGTCAAACAGCTGCTGTCTGTCTGTACTCGTGTTGCACGGGCCGGACGTCTGCCCGTCCGTGCCGGTCTGCCGTGCCGGCGGCGGTCGGCGCGGGGGGCGGACGACTGTGGCGCTCCGGTCGGTCAGCCGGCGGCCGGCCGGCCAGCAGTGCGCCGTGAGCCTCGGTGCCGCGCGGACCGCCCGTCCGGCACGCCATGACCATCTCACAGATCCAGCGCAGCTCGACGGGCCGCGGCCCGGCCGGCAAGCCGCCGCCGCCCGAGCACCTGACCAAGCCGCCGTCCAGCGGCGCGCCGCGGCCCGTGCCGACCCCCGAGGTACCCCGGCGCCGTGCCCCGACCTCCGGCGGCGGCGCCGGCCTCTGCGGCCTGCAGAGCTGCTTCTGTCAGCGGGCATCCAAAGAGCGCGCCTCCAGCGGCAAGAGACCCGAGAGCACAGCCTCTGCCGCCTCCGACGCCTCTCCGAGCCGCCCGGCCGACTCGGGCCTGCAGCTCTTCTCCCGCAGCAGCTCCGGCTATGACTCCCTGCGCTCCCGCAGCGGAGCTGGATACGACTCATTCCGCTCCCGCGGCGGAACCGGCTACGACTCTCTTCGCTCGCGCAGTGGCATCGGCTACGATTCGCTTCGCTCTCGCAGCGGAGCGGGCAGCCTGCGTCTGACGGCCCGTGAGCGCGAGGAACGTGGTCTGAAGACGCCGAGCGTCGCCTCCTCGCAGAGCCGCTCCCAGAAGGAGCCGTGGCTGCCGCCGTCACCGCGGCCGAGCAGCCGCGACTCCTGGAGCAGCCACGCGCGTCAGGCAGGCCGCGACTCGTGGGGATCGGACGCCTCCATCGGCTCGGTGGGCTCTTCGACCCGCACCACCCGCGAGCCCATCTGGGCCTACAACTGGGACGGCCGCTCTGACGGCCGCGGAGACACGCTCTCCAGCCGCGGAGACACCATCTCCAGTCGAGGCGACGCCACGCCTCTGAAGGAGACGCGCTGGCGAGACTCGGTGGCCGCCTGGAAGAACAGCGCCTTCTTCTCGTGGCACCGTCCGTCTGCCGAGGTCGGCTGGTCGCCGGCGGCCTCCCCGCGTCGACCGGCCGCCGCTTCCGACGCGTCTCCGGCCACCCAGCGCCGCGCCGCCCGCCAGCACCGGTGAGTACCTGCCGTTCAGCGTTTATTGTATATCTGTCCCTCGGTATCTGTTCTAAACACCTGTATCTCAGTACCTGTCCTTCAGTACCTAACTGTCTCTCAGCACATGTCACTCAGACACTCAGTGCCCGTCTCTCTTCCCTCAGTACCCGTCCCTCGTCCCTCAGTAGGTACCCGTACCTGAATCATGAATGCTCACTTCTTCAGTATCCTGTACCTCAGTTTTCAGTACCTGTCCCTCAAGTACCTGTCCCTCAGTCCCTCAGTACTTGTCCCTCACTCAGTACCTGTTCCTCATTACCTGCAGGCAGATGTGTTCCTGATGGCACCATCCCCGCTTCCCAGCCCTCCCACCGTCCCCGTGGCAGCTCTCATTTGTTTGATGGAACCAAATGGGCCGTTACAACAAACCCTGACAAGTGGCACTATTCTCTGGTCTAGTGACGCACCGTTCGCGTGTCGCTGGCAGTTACAGGCCGCCTCGTCGGTCACGAGTTAATCACCGTCCGTTTGGGGAACGGTTGGCCTCTGGGCCGGCCAGCTGCCTGGCCAGGTGCGTGGTCCCACGCGCTTTGAGTCACCTGGGTATGATTTGAGCTGCCGCGCAGCACGACCTTACTTGGTGTGGCGCCGTGACTAGCACCCACGGATTATCACACGCAGAGGGTGGAGGCGATGGAGGGAGGGGAGGGATAGACGACCGAGAGGGACAGGTGAACAGATCTCCCCAGAGGAGCTGATGAGTATTAGCCAGCTCATGGTCCAATGATTTCTTAATGTCGCGCCGATGGGCCAGACGGTCCCCGGACACTGCAGCATGTTATTGGGGATGAGGGGGATGGGGGGTGAGCACTGAACACACACTTGGAGAAATGTCGACTGGGAACTGAAACGCAGATAAGCAAGCAGCCCATCCATTTTCTCATGTGGCCTGTGGGCATGTGAGCCATGGGGTTTATTGTATTGACTCTCGCTGGACCTGCCCAAAGCGGTTCGCAATATTAATTCAAAATGACTTCAACTAAATGTATCGAAGTAAATTGGGTCGCCAATGGGGAGGGACATGCCGAATTGCGTTGTGTCACAGTTCGGGCGGCTTCCAGAAGCTGGACAGTCAGTGGCACTCGGAACGATAGTTGTTGGATTGATGGTCAATGGTGCATGATGATGATGGTCTGGCCGGTCTTCATGTGAGCTGCATATATTCACACTGTCGAAATGTGGATCAAGTAGATGTAGATTGAGGGATTCAACCGGAAGAGCGGTACTGTCACCAACCCGGGCTTGGCTGTTACGGCGATCATGAACGAGATGCGTCCATACATCAGCAATGACAAAAGAAAGGGACATGAATTTCTTGCCTGGTAGAAATCCAGCTGTTCAAATACGAGCACATGTCATTTCGTTGATCCAACTGCCATAGTCACTTTGGTGCGCGTCACGGTTAATAAAACGGCTAATTGCTACAAGATATTCGTATACCGCATGTCCATATCCTCGTCTGTCCGTCTATCCTCTATCTGTCTGTACGTCTATTCGCTTATCATTTTACGGGCATTTTATCCGTTTGTCCTATCGTCCGTTTGTCTGTTTGTCAGTACTTATGCCCGTCGGTGTTTTAATTATGCATGAGTAAATACAAACCGGCATATACAGAGCCAGTACAATATCTTAATGTGATCATACGGTTTCAAACAGCAACAAAATTACACCAGCAGTGTAGCAAAAACAAACTATAAGGCATAGAGGTATAGTCTAGAGCGCCTCGCGGCGCGTGCAGAAGACGACCCAGTCAGGTTAGCTCAGCAGCAGCGGTGTTTGAGCTGCTCTGACAGCACGGCGGTTGGGTGTGCCGATGAGTGACTCAAACCATGCGCTGGCGGTGGCGGTGGCTAAGGCTGTTGGTGCTGACACAGAAGTAAACGGAGGCCGATGGAGCCGGTGCGGGAGAGAACGGCGGGTCCCATTAGAGCATCGGAAGTGTCTGGTATAGAAAAAAAATATTTTCAGTTATTGGCACACGTTCATAGACGTTATGCATTTTATGCTTGGAGCACAAGTCAGTGCTGCACGATTGGCATGTCAGAGCACAGTTCTGCTGCCTTGTGATTAACAGCCGTCCAGTATGCCCCGGCGCCTCGAGCCCCTGCCCCGCTCTAGGGCGTACCAACGAGGACCTAAGAGCGCCAGGGAGTCCAGTACCCCTGCTCCGTCCTCGGCTCTAGCTCTGGTCAAATGAAACCACTCTCAGAGATGAGAACGGGGCTGACGGTTTCTGTGACCGGCGTCCTAACCGGGAGGTTTGGGCCACCCACCCCCGGTGATCCTAAATAAATAAAAAGATGCTTTCATTAAATGTCCCCGTCAATAAGTTTTACTTTTGTCGCGCAAGGTCGAAAATTTAACTTCAAATTTCATTCGAACAGAAATATATTATTCATCTTATTTCATGGTGCATGATTGAGTTTACCAAAATACATATGGGCCCAAGTGACCTCCATGAAGCAAGCTGTTGGCCGCTTATGCGGTTCCTGGGCTCTAAGAGAGATCGAGGTAGATACCAGCTACGAGTATTATTCTCATTGTCGAGAAAATAATATGAAACATGGCATCGGCCCATACCTCCGGGGCCATGGCCCATACCTCCCGGTGCATTTTGATGGGTCGAAAAAGCACATGATTTATTGAAAGTTATCTCGGGACAAAATAGTTGATCCCAGATGCCTAATATCAGGCACACGTTGCAGGCGAAAGGCAATTTCACATACACAAAGTGAAAAACCGAGTCTAGCCACTGCCCACTGGAAGAAAATTGCCTTTTCACAAAACCGGCCCATACCTCCCGGGTCTCCCCTACCCACAACCACAATTGTGGTTTGTGGGTTGTAAATGATTCTGTGAGCCTATGTTATTGTTATGTAGGTAACCTGGATCACTTGGTGGCGTAAACGCCGTTTACTTCACCGATCGCTCCCATAGACGGATCCAGACATGCGGTCTCGGACGCTGCAGAAAGGAGGGGGACATGCCCCCGAAAGGTGCCTCCAAATTCCAAAAACTCGCCGGAGATCGATTCCTTATGCACTGCTGTGTACTTTAAAACAAATTTTTTTTCGGGTAACAGTTTTTGAGTTTTCTTTTTATCTAGAAAAAGGACAGATCTTCATCGATTCTGGCCGCTGCGAGGGGACCAGTTGCCGCAATGCTTGCCCCCCCCCCCCCCCCCCGGATACGCCAGTCTTCGCTCCATCGTTTCAACAACGCCACGTTTCAGTTCGATCATTTCTGTTCGCTATGCTTCTGCGCTTTCTCTTATACCTACTGGTCACGTATATCGGCACTAACTTCGACGAGATCAGGGGGTGTCGAAGTCTAGTAGGAAAATCTGGCAAATTCCCTGCGTGACGTCACGTCGGGACTGACCGACGGCACCTTGCACTGAAAGATACCGCAGAACGGCTATTTTTGAAAAATGATTAAAAATACTTTTGTGCTGTTTTGACACATAAAACGCTTATCAGCATGCTCCTCATCATGTGATAAAGCCATATCCGTGGTCGAAAATAGCTGAGCCCCTCCCAATTTCCAACCACCGACCTCATAAGCAAAGGATGTAAGCGTAATCCTTAAGGGTGACTTTCCAATACATAATCGTACATATGCGTCCTTATGGAAATCGGTAGTGTGGCGATTGGCGACGCGCGCGACATCTGTGTGGCGACCAAGTGGCGACTGTGGCGACACCTGGTGGCTGCTTTTCTGCTGTATGTAGGCATAGGGGTTTTGCCAGTTATGGTTCCTACTGCTACACAACTATGTTGACCCAATACTAGAAAGTTATTTTGCCAGTAAAAGGCAAGCAAATTGAAAGTCAATTTATAAAATTGCTTATTTATGATAACGAGAAAATAATAAAGAAGTTTTGATTGAATATTTATTAAAATATCCAACCGTGAAACTATATTCTGGTAGGTTTAGTAGAAATTAGTCCGTGCAACCTTGTATTTAGGGCCTTGGACGAGATCTTCGAAGAGGCTTATCGTTTGTCACCACCATCCATTTCTGTGAACGTGACAAAATTATACGGAGCGCTTGTTTTGGCCGCGGCCGCGGATCCGAATGCCAAATAGAGATTATCGACTGGCCACTGTTTGCAGCGCGATCCGGTTCTGGACCGTGATGGATGCCCTATCCGTCCACAGACATTCATCACAGCCAGTGGCGTATCCAGGATCTTGAAAAGGGGGAGGCCAAACCTGCTCAAGGGGCCCACCCTTACCTTAGGGGCCCCAGTAGTGGCGTACTTAACCCACGCCCATATGCGGTTCTTTGCCTTTTTCACCCATATGAGGGAGCCTTTTTAGGCACACTCGGCAATCTAAAAAAGGAAAGAAAAACGTGAAAAGCCATTGATATCGATAGCTCTGCACGTAGTTACGATTTATTTCAGCAGTAGGCATACAGTTTTTTTTTTTTTTTGCTTTGGTCGTCGCCAGGGCCACTAACGATTATCAAAACCAAATGTTTTGTCATTTTTACGATTGTAACATTTTTCGAAGGGCAGATGTCAATCTCTTAGTGGCTTGCGCTGTTTGAGGGCTGATACCCTTAACTTTGAAGGGCCCGACTCTGGTTGAGCTCTGATCTAGACTCTGATGGCCCTAGTCCACATTGGCCTCACTCCGACCTCTGAAGGCTCATTCTGGCCTCTGAAAGCCCCACACCGGGAGGCGGCAACAGAGTGAACCTCGCTGGCCTCCGGGTCCCATAATGGCCTCAGGAGACCCATGCTATGGCTGACCTCATAGGGCCCCCCGCTGGCTCTTGGGAGTCTTTGAGTCAGTCTGACGACCTTATACCGCTCTCGAACCCACGCCGGTCTCTAGAAGCCCATGATGCCCCCTGAGGGTCCCACGCCGGCCTTTAAGGGCCACTCCTACCTCAGGGGGCCAAAACATGCATAAGTCCTGAAAAGTGGCTGCCAAGGCCCTCGAGGTGGC